ACAAGCTACATGTTGTTGCATATTTCAATAAACGCACTACCGAAGTAGAATCGAGATATCATTCATACGAACTCGAGACGTTAGCAGTTGTCAATGCTGTAAAACATTTTCGAAATTTTTTGTATGGTCAACACTTTACTGTAATGACAGATTGTAATTCATTAAAAGCGTCCCGTAATAAAATTTATTTAACGCCTAGAGTTCATAGATGGTGGGCCTTTTTACAGGCATTTAATTTTGATATTCAGTACCGCGAGGGTGTAAGAATGAAACATGCAGATTTCTTTTCTCGCAATTTAGCCGTTGAAAATAAAACCCAAAATAATATTCAAAACATTACTAATCATTGTACAAAAATTGTCCAGGCCTTAGATTTGCATAAGGATTGGCTAAATGTTGAACAGCAAAGGGATAATGAAATTATTCAACTAATTGCAAAATGGAAATCTCGTGAACTATCAAGTGATCTCTTAAAAACCTATGACGTTCGGAATAATGTTTTGTTTCGCAAAATAGAAAGGGGCTCAAAATCAAAATGGTTGCCAATTGTTCCTCGCTCTATGGCGTGGTCAGTTATAAATCATATTCATGTGGATTTAAAACATTTAGGCTGGGAAAAGACGTTGGAAAAATTATATGACTTTTACTGGTTTCCTAATATGTCTAAAAATGTTAAAAAGTTTGTCGATAATTGTTTGATTTGCAAAGCTTCTAAGGGTAAATCAGGGGCTTCACAAATTCAATTACATTCCATACCGAAGGTTGCAAAACCGTGGCATACTATCCATATTGACATTTCAGGAAAATTAAGTGGGAAAAGTGATAGGAAAGAATATTTTTTAGTTATTATCGACGCTTTTACTAAATTCGTAATTTTATATCAAATAAATTCTTTAACCGGTAAGCAAGCTGTCGAATCTTTTAAAAATTTTACTTATTTATTTGGAGCTCCTTGTCGAATTATTTCTGATCAGGGTAAATGTTTTACTAGTTCAGAGTTAAATTATTTTGTTCCGATAACAATATTGACTTACATTTTATTGCACACAGTGCAAGTAGAGCTAATGGACAGGTTGAAAGAGTAATGCAAATTCTAAAAAATGTTTTAACAGTTGCCGAAATTGAGGGAACTTGGCAGAATAGTTTAGGTGAAGTTCAGCTAGCATTAAATTGCACAAAACATAAAACTACAGGTTTTAGTCCGGCGGAATTATTATTTGGAACTAATATTAATTCGCTTCAATTAAATAAAGTAATACATCGAGCTATTGATATTCACGAAACAGTTTCTTTAAATGACATCAGAAAACAAGCCAGCGAAAACATTTGTAAAGTTGCGGATGCGGACGCTAATCGATTTAATGCCAACAAGGCAATAATTAGGCCGTTTACTTGTGGTGATTTTGTTTATGCTAAAAGCAACGAGAGAATGTTATCAAAGTTAGATAGAAAATTTAGAGGGCCATATAAAATAGTTAAGGCATTGCCAAATGATAGGTATGAGGTTGAAAAATTAAATGGTAAGGGAGGTATTAGTAAATTTGCACATGACCAATTGAGAGCTGTACCAACCGGTCAGGGTACAAGTGATATGTTTGACTTTAGCGATTCTTTAGATTTGGATGGTCCCGTGTCGGCGGGAAAAACTGATGATGTAGTTTGAGTAAGATTACATAATAGATTGCTGCGGTAGTCTATTTTGTAATATCATGCTGCGGTGTGACATGATATGTGAATAGTTGTTTTTGAAAGATTGCTGCGGTAATCTGTTCATTGAAGGGCTGTTGCGATAGCTGCTTCTGGTAATTGTTTTTTTTTAAGATTGCTGCGGTAATCTGTTGATTGAAGGGCTGTTGCGATAGCTGCTTCTGGTAATTATTTTAAGAAAGCTGATGCGGTAGCTAGAACTGTTTTTGAAGTTGTTATGAAAATCAAGAGCGAATTTGTTGTTGTGCTGCTGCGGTAGCTTGTAAATAGTATTTTAATGGTCAGGAGTGGCCGAGTGATTTATTGTTATTTTCATTTCAGGTGAAATGAAGGAGTAGCGCACGAGGACGTGCGACAGGTCAGAATGGCCGTGTCGGCGGCGCTGATGTTTAACTTTTGTTTATAGTTTTTATAGTTTGATATATTGGTAGTCGGTATTTTAAGATAAGTTGTTAGCTTCTATTTGATTTTTATAAATGATGATTTAGCAAAATGATACACACTTGCCTTTCATAGTGAGGGACAAGGGGAGCGGAACGGAGCCAGCAGGATGTTGGTAAAGAAAATAAAAGAATGAGAACGGTTTAGAGAAGTATAATCGATCGGAAGGTAATATGCTGGCTCCGGATCGCTAGTATCATTTCTTTAATTGATTAATAATTGATATCGTATTATTATCCGTACTTCTTTAATAATTATTTGTGTAGCGTCGTTTAAAGTGTTGTCAACATTGTTTATTGTTTTATATTGCATTAACAAGTTTTACAAGTGTTAAATGTAGTGTTTTGTCATAACAATGTCTGACGGTGACGCCCTAAATATCCGATATCCGACATATATATGGTTATTGGACGACGAACCTTGACCGTTTTTTAGTCTTCAAACGAGAATTACGAATTGTTTTTGATATAAAAATATGAGTTTAATTTGTCGTTTGAAAAAAAAAGATGACACAGACGACTAGATTTCAAACTACTATCAAAGAAATGTCCGTGGGTAATCTGACAGTGATTTACTGACAATATAGTATGAAAATATTATTTAAAAAAAAACAGCTTATACATTTTATATAAATTGACAGTCTTGGCGACTACTATGTCAAATAAAAATAGCGTCCAAGATGGACGGCTATGTCATAACCCCCTTAGATTTACGAACCCTTCCCACTGGCAGCTATTGTTTGACAGGTCGTTGGAGTACCAAAGAGTATTTCATCTGTAGAGCCTTTTATAGTCTCAGATCGAATGAAAGTTGCCTAAGACTATTTACTTTCTTAAAGTAAAAAATACACCCTGTTAAGCAAGCAAGGATTGCGGTATCATCTCTGGTATACAACAAGTAGAGTACTGGACCTAGTACAGTACCTTGAGGTACTCCTGCTTTAATTTCTCTTAGGTCGGAATAGGCTTCTTCCTGTTTAATTCTGAAATACCTTCCTGATAAATAGGATTTTAATAGCTCAAATTATTTTCGTGGCAGGAACTTGTTCAGTTTTTGAATCAGGCCTTCATGTGATACTTTGTCGAAAGCCTGAGATACATCCAAATAGACGGTGACGCGAACTTTTTTCTTCTAGGGACTTTTCGATATCTGTGATTCTATGAACTTGGTCGATGGTCGAGTGTTTTTTTCTGAAGCTAATTTGGTGGAGGGTATTAGGTTATTTTTTTCTATTATAGGTTTCAATCTTTTAAGAAGCAATTTTCATAGAGTTTCGAGATAACAGGTAACAAGGAGATGGGTATGTACGATGTAACTTCATGGGGAAGTTTATCGCTTAGGTATCATTATAACTTCTGCCACCTTCCACATCTTCGGTTCGTACTTTAGTCTAAAGGACGCATTGATGATATTGACCATTTTAACACTAGCTTTCCGTGGAAGTATTTTCAAAATTTCCCCAGTAATGAGGTCAAATTCGGATTTATATTTGATTGGATTTCCATATAAACTTCTTTTGGAGTGGAAGGTTTAACGACTGTCTCTGCTTGTGCTAATTCCAACCAGTCTTAAAGATCTTCACCATTATTGGGTTGGAAGATACTTTCTAAATATTCCGCAAATCTGTTTGCTTTTTACAAATTGTTTCGGACTAAGCTTCTATTTATGATTGATGTGTTATGTATAGTAGGGCTTTTAATTCGTTTGGTAGCTTTCCAGACAAAAAGTTCAACTTCTTGGTCTAATTGTTCCTCAGTTCTTAATGGAATCGAGAGATCAATTAGTTATTCTACGTTGATTTTAAAACTTTTCCATTATGTGCCTTTGTTGACTAGTTTGTACAGTATCACTCAAGAAATTTTGTTCGAATCTCTGGGCCAGTATGTTATTTACCTTTGGTTGTTGTCAGTTTTGCATCAAAGTCTCCTCCCACTATGAATCTGTATCCTTAGCTATCCAGAAAGCCAAGGTATTGTTGCTTCTTTATAGCATGTCTTGGTGGTCTATATAAAGCTGTGATTACAATTTCATTACCCTGAAAAGGAGGAAAACTCCTATATCAGGGAAATAGGAAAATAAAATGTCCTAGAAAATGTAAAATACCTAAGAGAAAATCGATAATAAATTAACAAAAAAAAATTCATAGGTTTTTGTTTTAATATTAACAGATGTGGCCTGTATTTCTACTGTTTTGTAACCAATTTTTTGATAATATGTAAAGTGAATTCCCTAATTATAACTGCACCTCCGCCTTTTGCCGCATTATCTGGATGGATTGTATGGTACACTTTATATCCTGAACGTCTCTTTTGTGAAATTTGTCTCAGCAATCAGACAAATATAAATTTTTTTCTAATTCTAAAACTGTATGCAGCTCTTGTTGATGCTGCAGCAGTCCATTTGCGTTCCATTCGAAAATTCTAAGATGATTGGCCATTTTTAGTTTTAAGGATCCTTGAGTACGATGTTTCAAATTTGAAATACGCCAATTGATCTTGTCCAGTCTATCTAAATTTCTCTGGAGCATCACATCAATATTTTTTGTGTTTTGTTGAACTTGCTGTTGAATATATGGTTTTTTCCACATGTTTCCTTCAGCTTCATGGCTATATGTTTTGTTTTTTTTTTTTCATTATCTATTTGAATTGTATTCTGTGTTTATTTTTTATTAATATTTGATGTCTCATTTTTATTAAAATAAATTGAGTTATTGTTTCAAATGTTTTCGGGGGTGAGAGAGGGACGTTGCCAAATCGATAGAAATTTCAAAAACTAAGGAATTGTTAATAAGCAAAGTTGTTTAAATTAACGAAGATTTTAAATTAGATACTAATTATTATGTTTTGTTACAGGGGAATGGTGCAATATAGAAAATGTCGAAAGTAGAGAGAAAAGAATATCAAGAAACGAAGGTGACGCGAACATTATCGCCCACAAGGAATTATAGCTCGAATCAAAATTTATCGCAATTCGATAGCAACTTAGGTAAATGATTTAGTCCTATTAATTAAAACTCCATTACAACATGAGAACGTTAACAACCATTTTTCCATTTCAACACGCTTCTTTTTTGTAGATTATCTTCTAGAAGATCTCCAGAACTCAGTTTCGCGACCCGGTAGCTCCCTAGGATACACCAATGGAGGAACTGGGAGTCACGCATACAGGGATACAACTCGCGCAGTCGACACAGGCAGAAGTAACTCGCTAAGTAGAATTAGCAATATCAAATCTTCGAATCCAATGTCAGAATACTCTTCAGATGATACATATAGTTATAAAGTAAGTATATAAGTCGATCTCTCAAGAAATAAAAACAATGACAATTATTGCAAGAGATTAACGGTAGGGGAAGGGTGTACATAATGACACACGTTTTATAGAACTATAAAAATGTAATTAAAAAATAGCTTTTTTTTAACAAATCTTGAAAAACACAAACATTTCAAAAGATACTTTAACTTAAAAATATAAAATATGGACTTTTAGTCAAAGAAATAAAAATAAACAAGAAAAATTCATTTTACCCCATCCGGATGGAAAAATGACACAATACTGTTTAATATACTTTAAGACGGTACAAAGCTCATAAACAAATATTTTTGTTTTTTTGTCCACCCCGGCACAGTCGGCATGCACCCACTTTTTACACGAACAACAACAGCCACAGCTCACCTTTTTTGGAAAATTTGTACAATTCTGTGCAATAAATGCAAGCACAATCGTCTTCTTCATCTTCAGAAAAAGGTTCTTTTTCTGATTCTGACTCGAATTCTGCAAGAACTTTTCTTGTTACCACCCTTTTTATCTTTTCTGGGATCTTTAGTTTCGGCTTGTTTTTTTCTTTGGCCTCTTCCAAGTTTGGAGTAGAGTTTAGGACAGAAGTACCTTGACGTTTCCTTGGCTTTCGTTTTCCCTGGCCTGAAACAAATGGTCCGATCAGAACTGGACTTAAATCAGCTGGTGAAACCAAAATTGAACCACTACTTGTGGAATTTTGCAAGTTTTTCTGAACCACTGTAGGAATGGCAAGGGGAGGTTCTGGTGCGGTAGCGGAAGTTCCAGGTAGCGCATTATTATCAGTTAGAACATTCGGGCCTTGTTGGATACTTTTATTTAATATAATATTTGTAGTTTCAGATGCTTGAAACATATAGTCGGGGAAAACATCAGGGTTTATTGGGTAGATGCCTGTCTTGGCAAATCCATGACTAGCGTTCAGAACAGTAGCTGCCTTTCCATATGCTTCATTTAACAGACCACCAATTTGAAATTGTGTCACAACTCGACCAGGATGAGCTTTGAGCCATTTGCTTATTTCTTGGTTATATGTAAAAACACTGGACTAGTCATCCAGCCGGACTCTTGGGCAATGCATAAAGTTCCTGCAGGTGTATGGTCGGTTAATTCTTTCTTCATATTTTTTCGCGGAAAAATTAGGGCAGTCGGTACATAGTTCCCATTGGTACACATGCAGCAAACAACTGTTACATGAGAACCTCTTTCTGCGCTAGTAATTGCACCTACTTGTTTCCGACCGGCTGTAGCAAATACTTTCTGCGGCGCTGTACGGTAGATAATGAAGATTCATCTGCATTATATATCTTCATTATATCAATGTTTTCCTTTTGCATGGTCTCATCTAACACGGTAAAAAACTGAGTAACTTGAGGTTTGTTAAATGCCTGCGCTCTTGCTGCAGATGTGGCTTCGGGTTTACGCAGTGTTATATCTGGATTTCTTTTGCGAAACTCTCTTAGCCAGTCCTTTCCAGCGGCCTTTTTCTGGTTATTAAAATTATGTTCAAACCCATTTTTTACGGCTAAATTATAGGCTAACTCTAATACGTCTCGTCTTGTTAGTCCAAAAAACCTTGATTCTAGCAGTTTTAAATGGTCTACCAACTGCCGTTCTACTTCTATGGGAAATGTGGGTTTAAAACTGCCGAGTCGTTTTTCGCCTTTTCTTAAAATTTTATTTTTTTCCAAGGCATGCCTCCTAAGGGTTGCTTGAGGGATTTTGTAATTTTTTGATGCCTTGAGCCATCCCATTTCACCATTTTTAACGGCTTCTATTGCCTTTAACATAGAATCAGCATCCCACGATTGCCTGTTAGACTTTCTTGCGTAATTTCGCGGCATTATCTGTAAAAAAAATGGATATTTCTCTCTATTTATTGTCATTTTGCCTTTCACACTGTATGCCATTTTACCCCACATGAACCTAATATAAACAAATGCAATTTTTGACAAAATAACAACATATTTCTTAAATCAAAAATGTGCAATCCTAAAATCAATAATCCAATAACTCGTCATAAAAATTTTAACTTACCAGTTTTTCACACTAAAAAGTTATAGCAGATTTTAATATTACGCGCCAAAAACTTTTTGATGGTAAAAATAAGATAATCCGACAAACACTCTCTCTAACTGACGAAGCGGTACTAAATGTGGACTAGCTTGTCCGAGACCCATGCCATGATAGTATGTTCGTTTCCGAGCACTTCCGAATGACGATTTGTGTGATTACAAGCAATGTGTCATTATACCCCACTAAGTAATTTTGTACACCCCTCCCCTACAAGAAAATTCCCATTAATGCATCTCCATAAATTTATCTGATACCTACCCAAATCCAAGAAATTTTCATAAAATCTGTAACGTCTACTATGTATCTGTATTGCCTTCAAGCCATCTGGTTAATTAAATTGCCCTTATAACCATTTACATTATTTCATGACAAAAATGCCAAGGATAGAGTGTAATATTATAAACATTAAACTATAATGTGGGTGTTTGTATTGAAAGGTTAACTTTGAGAGAAGGTATAAATAACTATACATATTTATATTTACTACTATTTTCTTGCCTTCGATTACTAAAATTGATCCTTCCGTTTACAGTATAACCTACGCATGTAACATACATTTTTAATAAAATTATTTGCTTACATACCATAGTATTATACGAGGGCTGTCTTTTAAGTTTTGCATACCGTGCTTTAGAGGGCGTTACGAATCAAACGGCTCTAATAAAAATAAACTGTCGCCTTTAGTTAACCTCATTTCCAAGTTTCAGTCCGATTCATAGAGTGTTGTAGTTACACCAAATTTTCAAAGTTGACAAGTTATTCAAGAAATGGATTTAAACCGAGAACAATTTCGTGTCATAATTTTTTACAACTTTCGAGGACAATTATCTCAACAAGAATGCCTCGCCGAGTTGGTTTCTGTTTTCAGTAGTGATGCACCACATCAATCGACAATTTCTCGTTGGTATGGAGAATTTACACGAGGACGGGTTAATCTTAGTGACGAGCTAAGAACAGGTGCACCTAAATCGGTAATCACCCAGGAAATCACTGATGCTTTACCCAGGCTCATCGAGGAAGATCGGCATGTGACATATCGCGAGATTGAAGCATCGTTAGGGATTTCAAAGACCTCAATCCAATAGATTTTGCATGAAGAATTGGGAGTAAAAATATTAGTATCCCGTTGGATACCGCATCTGTTGACCGAAGAACAAAAAGAAGCTAAGTTAAATTGGTGTCAAAAAACTCTGGAGCGCTTCAACACTGGAAACTCTAAAAACGTGTACTGCATCGCAAGTGGTGATGAATTATGGATTTACTCATATGAACCTGAAAATAAACGCCAATTGTCTGTTTGGGTTTTCCAAGGTGAAGACAAGCCGACAAAAGTGATCCGTTCTTGAAGTGTGTCTAAAGAGATGGTCGCAACATTTGTCTCCAAAGCAGGTCATGTTGCAACAATTCCTCTGCAAGAGCAAAGAACTGTTACTGCCGATTGATATATAACGATTTGTTTTCCAGCAGTCACCGGTAAGCTTCGGGAAACCAACCCCAAACGGCGAATCATCCTCCATCAAGACAATGCAAGTGCGCATACAGCTCGCAAAACAATTGCCTTCTTAGAGCAACAAAACGTCGAGTTCTTAGATCACCCTCCTTACAGTCCCGACCTAAGTCCCACCAATTTTTTTACCTTTCCGAAAATCAAGAACGCACTGCGTGGGCAACGGTTCCAGTCACCAGAAGATGCAGTTAAGGCATTCAAAACAGCCGTTGGAGCTGTGACACCCCAGGAGTGGAATAACTGCTTTCAGAGCTGGTTCGAGCGCATGCAAATGTGCATTAATCTTCGTGGAGAATACATTGAAAAACAATAAAATGTTTAAACACTATCTGCTGTTTTATTCTAGGTCTATATGCAAAACTTAAAAGACAGCCCTCGTATTACACATAATTTACAGCAGGACTGTCTAAAATAAGTCCCGATACGCCATTTTTTGCGATCAAAAAAATATATAAATATGCCTAAAAAACAAAAATATAAAACTACACAAGCAGGTCATTCGTACACCATGAAATAAAATAAGTAAGACAAAGCTATTATGGGCTCACTTGTACCAAAATCGCCGCTAGATGGCGCCACCTGTCATTGGTGGACAATTGAAACTCGCCTAAGTGGTTTGCGACTCAGCTAAGCGATCCAAGATGGTGACCATCGTTTACGTGAACTTCTTTTATCTAAGGATGGATCCACATGCATCCGTGATCACGGACGTACGTGTGCGTTTCACGGATAGTCGAAAATTTGGACATCTACATGGTTCAATCCGTTTAACTTATGCGTTTATGTAATCAAAGTATGTGGTTTATGGTCATTGGCGTTGTTTATCGTACTTAACCTTAAAATATTTCCATATTTTTGTGTAATCACCGACCTTGTCTAAATTTTGAGTATTAATATTAATTGGAATTTACTGATTTCCTGTTTAAGCAGACAATTAGTAGAGGCTCCTTCCTGGGCGCAACGCGATTTAAGAAAAAAAATTAAAATATACTGCAAAGCAAAAGGCTTATCGAACAAAACCCTCACAAAAGAGCAATGTGGACAAGAAACATTTTTTTGGAGGAAAACAGATTAAAATATGGCTGTGGGAGAGCGATCCCATTAAGTATTTTAATTACTTTAGGATGAGCCACACACTTTAGTTAACGAGTTGTGTGAAAAAATTAAAAAACAAATTTCAAAAGCTATATGTTATTAGAGCTCCCATTCCATCTGAAATATGTAGTCAGTGCGCAGTGACAGGCCAAAAAGACCGAAAACTGATATCTTCGTTATTATTGGTCCGACTGGAATGGAGAAAACGGGCGAGTGTGGGGATTTATTCTAAATCTCTATTAACGTTGAATAAAAAAATCCTGCGCAATAGCAATGCCAAAAGAACCGAAGGGCGTATCTCCGTTATTATTGGTCAAATTCAAACGGAAAAACGGTATTATGTAGAGAATTTGGTATAGATTAAAACGATGAAGAGAAAAATTTTGCGTAGTAGCAATGCCAAAAGGACCTAAACGTGTATCTCCGCTATTATTGGTGGGATTTAAAGGAGAAAAACGGCATTATGTAGAGAACACGAGAACGTTGTATAGAAAAATCATACGCAATGTCAAAGTCAAAAGGGCCTTAAGTGTGTATCTCGGCTACAATTAATCATATTTAAACGGAAAAAACAGTATTATGTAGAGAACGTAGTATAGATTAACGTTTAAGAGAAAAATCATGCGCAGTAGCAATGACAAAAAGACCTAAGCGTTTACCTCGGCTATTATTGGTCAGATTTAAACGAGGAAAATGACATTATGTAGAGAGCGCGGTTGAATATAAAAATCCTACGCAGTGGCAATGCCAAAAGAACATTCACCACTGACAGGCGGCGCCATTTAGCGGCGACTTTTGGTACAAGTCTATCTACTAAAAACTGTGTTTAGGCGAGTCTTAAAAATTTTTTTAAAAAAAATATAAATTGTATAAGTAAATAAATTTGACATAGCAACACTACTGGCGATGGATATAAGACAGCAATGAAGTTACTAGAAAGCTGGAACACTGGAGATCTTGATTCTTGCTGGGCTGCTATCGAACATTCAAGTAGCTATTCGCGCGCAAATAATAATGATGGGTCAAGCTAGATGGGCAGAGTAATATTGTGGAATAGAAACTCATGGACAGAAAAATGTAGAATACGATTCGCGAAGTTCACTGTTACGGTCTAGTGTTTATTTGTTAAAAATTGTAGTTATTTTGTTTTGGAGTGCGGAATGCAGCAACTCAATTGAAGCTTATTTAAGTGAAATATGTCTTTGCAAGAAAGAAAAATAACGAACAACAAGTTTATAATGACCATTGGAAATCAGACTATTTAATACCAAACAACAATAATAAACTTCAGTTCATTTTTTGTATGCAAGTACTCTATTAGTTTTTAAAAAATATAATATGTATACAGGGGAGTCTAGAAATTACGGATTATAAGCAAAAGCTAAAACAGCAAACACATTTCTTCAAAAAGTCTGAGAATGCAAATGCAGTATTGCCGCTTCTTACGAAGTAGCGCTGGAAATTATTGTCAAAACCTTTTAATGATAGAGTGTTTATTAAGAATTGTTCAATGAAAATGGCAAATTAATAAAATGAAAGAAAATTTTCGAAAAATTCGAATCAGTCTGTGTCCCATCAAACAATTGCAAGACGTGTAGACCACATTAATCAATAGGTATCCAAAAATTTCAGAATTGAAAAATGTTTTTCACTCTGCCTGGACAAAATATTATCTGCAAGATTTAAAAATGTAATAATAAGATACTAGAGTAATTTTAAAATTTGATAAACCTAAACATCTTAGTATGGACTTTTATCTTCAATGTCCTGCCAATTTAATGGCTCACCCAAAAACTTTGTGTGATTATGTGAAATTTAGACCCTTATCTACCAAGTGTACCCTATATAAATGATATTGGATGAACTAGAATTTTTGAAAAATATGTTAATATAACAGCGAATTTTCTTTAGAGTCCAGATGGAAGACAGACAGTTAGTGGTTACAAAAAAGAAAAATATATGTATGGAACCAGCACTTCGGATATTACACCTGAAAAATTAAGGGCGCAAAATAGTATTAACCAATTAGACAATCTCCTAGATGATTTACAACAAGTCAAGAACTCATCTTTTTTGAAAACAGGTAAAACATTTAAAAAAACATCACCAAATGTAAGGAGTGGTCCACAAGTAATGTTTCTATAGTGGGACGTATGTCGAGCGAACAATTCTTCTTCTTTTTAACTGTCAGTGTGGTTTTAATTCAGAGCCGATCGTAGTTATCACCAACATGACTCGTATCTCTGTCTTTGTCGGTTACGGCCTACTTTGGAAACATTGTTTGTAGATCACTATTTATATTAGAGAGATATTGCAAGTTCACATAACTGCAGTGGGGAATTAAGTGGGCGCTAAAATAGTACTTATTGTTAACATACAATTTTTACTTTATTTCTAACCTTATTTTTTTATAAAAAAGACATTGATTAGATTTTTGTTTTGAATACAAAAATAAATATTTAAGAGGAATTAGAAATTGATATTTTAGTAGATTTCGTTATGAAGAAATGGAGAATGGAGTATTTAATTTTAGCAAATGTGCTAGTGGACAGAGATAGTGTAATTCTACACCCTCATTTCAATTTGCAAGATGTGACTGATGAAGAAATAAAATAAAATGACTTTTATAACCAGTGGCGGATCCAGAGTTCAAGTCTGGGGGGTTAGTGGTAATATTTCGCAGGTAGCACACTGACGTTACAGCGACGTCATTTATTGGTCATCCGTCACGTCATTTTTCTCCATAGATGGGACGTCAAAATGACGTACAGCTTACGTCATTATGTCACGTCCCAGCGACGTCATTTTGTGACGTTAATTTGTAATGTTACTATAACGTCAATTGGTAACGTTACTATGACGTTTGTTTTGTCTATATCTAAAAGGATGAGGCTCTATTGGGCTCATGGGAAATAATATTACAGTTTGATAATAATAAACAGTTTTTATTATTAAATAGTTTTATATAAAAATTATTAAAACTAACCATTAAACCCCATGAAAACTAAAAATAAAGTTCCAGATGAAGCTGAAAAAAGAAACTTAAAAATGGGGGGTTAAGGGGGAGGGGGTTGAAATAAAAAAATCCAAACTCAATAACGAAAAATTGAAAAATCATGCCCTATAAGCGAACAAAGCCTATTTCTTGTGTTATTTTTTCTTTTTACTTTCCATTACTTAGTTCTTAGGTTTATATATATTAAGTAAATAATTTAAATTAGGTTGAGTGGAAAATTGGAATCGAATTCCAAACTCAGCCTTTTGACATAAATTTGTACATAACTTATAATAATGTATATATTTTTTCTTATATATTTAAATGTCAATAAAATAGATATTAATAATTTAAAAAAAAATCTGAATAAAATGGGGTCAAGGGGGGGTTGAAATAGTGAAAAGAATCCTAACTCAGAAACAAAAAACGATATCAAATTGAAATCTTCAGGAAAAATCAAGCTTTATAAGGGGATGAAGCCTATTTATTGATTCTGAAAAACTCTGATTGAAAACTGTTAAACTGTTAAACTGTGAAGAGTATAATATAGAACGCCAAACATTATATATCTTCTAATCTGTTAAACTGTGAAAAGTATTATATATCTTCATTATAGTTTGAACTTGCAATAACTCTAACTCTCTATTATTGTGTAGTATTTAATGATATAAAATCTGTTTACGTTACATAAGTATATTTCGTTATTTCTGAATCCGATTTTGTATTTTGTATACATTTTGATGACTGTATTTATATAAAAAAACGTTTTTAAAATGTTAAAAATAGCTTCTTTATTTTGCAGAATCTTATAATAGCTCTGGACCTGATCCAAATTATCAGTAAGTATTGTTAAAATCATCTGTGACTAACAACACTTTGCCAAAACACATGATATGGAACAAAATAATGCGAAAATCATATTTTTGACTAATTAACTTTGAAGAAAAGTTTATTTAACAATATTTTAGACAAAAAAAAAGTAATTGCTTCTAGAAAGAAATAGTAGAAATTATAAATAACCTCCATATATATTAGAATATAACTTGTATCCTATCAACCTGGCTTTAATGGATAATTAATTACGAGGTTCTACACAAAAATTAACGAATGCGCTTTTATGTGTTTATAATTTCATATTGTCAACTTTAGTACCTCTTAAATGGAATTCATCCAGGCTATACCTCATAAATGAATAGATATTCGAGTGAAAATTGAGTACGAGGGTTCTTCGCCAGTAGCCCTATACATCACTGTTCTCAAAGTTTTACTGAAAATCAATTAATTCTGTCCACATATCGAAATCTCTAGCATCTAGCACTTGTGGTATTTTCCAGTTCAACTTGTCACCTTTATTTATCCAAGATAATACAATAAATCAGCGAGGAACAAAATTCCAAATGACTTTAGATAATGAACTCCCGTTACAAAAATGCCACAAGACATCAGCTATGGGTAACATTTAATGAAGATCCTATAGAAGATATTTAAAATCTAATTTTAGGTTCATATTGCGGCCATATTATGGTAGTTGCGTTAGATTAAATTAGATTTGAAAGAATTTGGACATTAGTTGTCCTTGTCCACTGTGAAATTCAAATACCCTCCAACAATACCATTGGATACAGTGATAGATACTAGAGATGTCGATGAGTGGGTAGAAGTAACAAATTTGAAGTAAAACTTTGAGAACAGTGGTATATAGGGAGGGCTATTGTCAAAATATCACCTTAAAAAATCTAACGCGCCTGATTCGTAACCTCCGTAGGGGTATGGAACCCTAAAAGCGTTTCTGCACGCGTGTTAACAAGATATTTTTCGTATTTTCTTTAACTAACCCTATAAACTTGCCCACCAAACTTAAACTCAAACCAAGGTCCATAGGTTCCTTTTATATTCATCCACAATAATAATAATTTGAACAAAAGAAAATCTTACATCCAATCTTTCTCTAATCTAATTAATATCAGGTATTTAGTCCACTCAACGTTTTATGTTCTCACAATTCAATCTTGATAAGTACTAAAAAACAACTACAAAAGTATTAATTTATATAAATGTATAGATTTCCAATGATTTTTCTTTCTGTTACACTTCGCCCTCCTTCTCCGCTATCTCTCGCCATACTTAAAACTGCTTCTATCCCTGCTCTGTTAAATGAAGTCTGCAATATTTTGGCTAGCCAAATACTGCCGGTTATATTGAAAATGACCCCAAACCACAGCATAGGCATCTACATAAACAAGACCAGTAGACCAGAGATTGAGATTTTTGAAGTGTTACTATTACTTTATTACCTAGTTTAGTACTAGAAGCTATAAATAAAAAAACTTACCATTGAAAAGCTTCCTTGGTTTATTTAAACGTAAAAAAATATTTAACTGAAGTTTTTTTTATTTTTTTCAAGCATTTTTCGCACTTTTGACACAGCAGTTGACATTTATTTATACTTAAGATCTATTCGCCTATCCTCAATGGCTGCAAATTTGTCTATAACATCGTCGTAAAATTTTGGATTTTCTGATAACTGTTTAACAAGCTGTTTTTCAATGAATATTAGGGCTAAATTAGAGAGTCTGTCTTCACTTGTTGAATTTTGTATAAAACTTTTAATGCGCTTTAAAGCTGAAAAACTTCGCTCAACTGACGCACTTGTGGCTGGGATGGTTAGTAATAATTCACACAACTTGACGACTTCACAAAGGGACTTATTTAAACCAGTTGTTATAAGAAAATTTAACAAATTGAAGGGCGTCTTTCATCACTAATTTCAGTTGTTTCATAAGCAACACTTAACTGGGACTTTAATGCTGGAATATCGAAAAAAATTCCATAATTTAATTTTAGTGAATTAAAAGCGTCCGATAGAAATTTTGATGAATCGTAGTTACTGATATTAAAATTGCACAATTCAACAAATTTTAATTCGTTAAAGTTTTGAAATCGAGAGTTCATTTGTTGTAGAATATTATCAAAAATTTTGGCGTATAATCGACGATAGGAGGTCTCTCTGTCGCCGACATTATCAATTCTAATTTTGTTTCTTTCAGGTACTAATCTAATGTTTTGAGTCTTATTCCAAAAGTGTTTAAACTGATTTCGTTTTTTATTCATTTTATTTTTAAAATCATCAATTTGTTTAATGCAAAAGCCAATATCATTTGACTTTGTTTGTAAAATGTCAAATAAAATGTCAGTAAAAGGGAAAATCTCTGCAAAAATGTTGAGCAAAAAACTGAAATCAAAGTTTTGTTTGAGCCAATGCAAATGCCCTTTAGCAGCAGTAACAGTTTCAGCATCCCATGTTTCTTTATTATCCCAAACGCCTTGAAAAAAGTATATCAAAGAATCACGGTATTGAAACACTGTTTGCACTAAACGTCCATTGTAGTTCCATCGCGTCGGAGCAACATTTGGGAGTTATTTTCGATGACTTTGAAAAGAAGGAAGCCAAACCACTAAGCATCGAAAAAAAAACTTTGCAATCTTTAATATTATCCATGCTTCGCGATAAAACCAAATTAAGTCTATGTGCTATACAGTGAACGAAAATTGCATGTTTAAACTTTTCTTTCACTTTAGCTTGATAGCCTCCTAAATGGCCAGCCATTACGGCAGCACCATCGTAGCTCTGGGCAACAAGCTTAGACCACATTCTAAACTTGAAATAATGTCACAAACAATTTTAAACAATGCATCTGCAGTTCGTTCGCTAGTGACGTCCAAAAATCCTAAGAATCGCTCTTAAGGAATGGCATCCAATACATATCGCACAACAATGGATAATTGACAGTTTGCTACATCTGTGGTTTCATCAAGCGCAATTGATACGAAAGGTGCTTTTTTAATTTCACTTTAAAAGTTTCCCTACTTTTATTCCTCCAGAAGTCCAAAAGCACAAAAGCACAAAATGCAAAAATCCATTTGTGTTATGTGCAGCTAGCCCTGAATTTGAAAATACCAATAGTGGTTCTCCTTAATGGTATTGTCCTTTTTCCAAAAAGTTATTTCTCTACTGCATATTTCTTCTTCTATAGTCGGTACTTCAGCTTCATATGGACATTTTAACTCTATCAGAGTTTTGTTTTTTTTTTAAATCCATGCAGACTGGCAGCAACATAATCAAATTCGAATTCAATAAAATGTCCACATTTAAAAACTTTTACTTGCAAATAAATTTCCCAATATTATTTTGCTCTGAATTTATGGTCCATGCCATATCGGGTGGCCTTAGAAATAAATTAAAGATTTTAAGGAGATGTTTTACAAATTTTTCCAAATTTTAAAGCAGTAACTCGTTTCCGTCTTTTATTGTGCCACAATGCACAATCAGCTTGTCACAATCGTTTTTTTTTCTCATTGACTAACTTTTTAGAAAATTTTCTCTTGCAACGCGCCTCAAAGGGTGCGACAGATCAAAGCCATGCGCGAAAGCAAGAAAAAATATTTTCATTACTTTAACGGATTGAAAAGATATTAACATGCTGGAATTAATAATTATTGTTGACTCGAAGAGGTATTTATTAAACAAAAACATATTTATAATTCACATCTCAATGCAATTTCGGATATATATTTTTTTTAATAAGTAAATGATAAAATTATTTAGTTTAATTGAGCGAAATTACTGTAAAAAATAACAACATGAATTCAAATCACTTACGTACTGTTTATCACTAAATAGTAGAAAAAGATATATATTTTGTTGGTGTCACCATCTAGACGAAAAAGCTTTTAACGTATTTCGATTTTTATTGTAATAAAAATAAATGCTCCTGTAGACAAAAATTAAATATATTGCATTTTTTACATTTCTATTTCTTTTCGTTACTTTTCTTAGATTCATATTTTTAAAGTGACTCCAGAGAGGTATGGGCTAAGCCTTTACCTGTACTTACATAAAATTTGTTAGTAAAATTAAAAAATAATCCGTAAAATTGGTGTACTATGAAACCCTTGCGTATAATATATATACCAATCTTAGTATTACAGAAATAAATTACGTAAAAAATAAGGTGTACAAATACGTAAAATTTATTCATCCAACCACTTTTTCAAAATTCAATTTTGTTTTTTCTAAAAAAAATGGAGAAAATGGGTAAAAAAAGTCGAGTTTTGTATTTTTTTTTTTTAGAAAAAACAGTTTCAAATTTTAAAAAAGTGTCTCCAGAGGAGCATAGATTTATCCTTTACCTACACGTACATATTTTTTTCTTTCAGAATAAGTCAAAAATAAACTTTAAAAGTGGGGTACTACGAAACCCTTGCATGCTCCGCTCTACAGCCAAGTAAATACTCCTCTTAAGGAGGACAAAACACTGTTAACATTTATGAAACACTTGCGTGACTGAGTTTCCTGATAAACGGCTCGCTGTCAAGTGCGGCGTACCATCTGTCGGTATAGATGACAATACGCTGGAAATCCAACTCACAAGGAATTATCAGTAGGAGAGAACACTTCAACTGTAGCGAGAAGTCTCTCGAATTGCCAAAATTTGTACGAGCAATAAAAACCCCTAATATAAGGGGTTCTATGCAGATAAATACTTGTGGACAATAATCAGCTAGATGGTTCCAATATCAGTCTTACACACAGGCAGTTCTAGCCTTTAGGAAAATATAATTTTCACTAACCACAGTGTGTTGATGACGTGGACATTTACAAATCTCTTTATATAGGTAAAAATTCGAGGTATTATAAAAATATCGACACCAGCACAAACTACTACACTCGAATTTATTTTTAGTGATTTAAATATAAAATCCCAATTACGGATGATTCCAAAAATCGAAGATTTAAAAATCACAAATGATGCTACACATCGACAGCCCGAAGACATCAAAGTGAAAGGTGGCAATATAAGCACCTTAAATTAAATTTTTGATATCGAACAACGAACCCTATAAAATCGCGTAAAGAATTAAATTCGCACATACATGGTTTTATTAATAACCTGAAAAATAATTTGAACTGTAGATAAAGGAAAGAATATTGGAAGTAAATAAATATTCTTATTTAGGACAATTAAAAATAAACCGTTACAATAAATCAAAATGAGAATGATAAGATATTTTACTGGGATATCCCAAGGCGAAATATTTAAAGCAAAAAGGCAAATTAGAAAGAGGAAGGGTATTATTGCTACAGACACCCCAGAAATCCATTTGATAAAAAGAAGGTCATAGAAAGAAATAAGAAAAAGTAAGCGCAGGATATGAGGACACGTAGAAAGATAATTAAAGCTAAAACCAGACTTTTTGAATCATCAAGTGATGATAAAGACGCTGATTATCAATGGTAGAACTTTCGACGACCTGAGCGAGGAAGAACCCACCAAGAACCTCTTTGAGTTCACCGAATTAGAAAGAGAGCCGATTATTAACGATTTTGTCTTAGTTCAATTTACTGAATCGTTAAAAACAACTAAAATATAATACACTGGAAAACTTTTAAGGTAGGAGGAGAACGAGTTTGTGATTACTTTTCTACGAAAAAGTAACAAATCCCTAAATGCCTTCGCGTTTCCGTTGGAAGAAGACGTAAGTTCGGTCACCGAAGAAGGACGTAAAATTGATTCTGCCAAAATATTTAGTGGTGGGTAAAACTAAACGACACCAAAAAATATCATTCGCTTTGAGATAAATCTGTATTCCTCAAACATTCGTTAACACATAAGTTTTATTTTTATAGTGTTTGTTTAGTTAATTATGTCAAATAAAGTTAATTTTTGGACCTTACGTGTATTTTTATTCATGTTTCACAATGAGACATTCTTATTTTTTTTTTAATTAAGTTGACTTTCGTTATAACTATAATGTGGGCAGTCTTCTTGTTCACCGGAGTCTAATTTTTCCTTTATTATTCTTATCGTAGCACTAAATAAATGCATGTCTTATCGTGGAACACGTTTGGTCCACAATGAGACAAATGTAAGGTTTTTTAATAAAAATCATACTTTATTAGTCTGTGAAAAATCCCCTTTTTTTATTGATTAATAAGGTATAGCATATGTTGAAGTAAACGTTATAACGAATTACAGTTTTAAAATTGATTTTAAAATAAATAAAAAAAAAATGGAATGTAATATTTTTTAATAATTAAACTTAGTTGCAAATTGCAAATATTTTATGCATATTTTTTTTGTATGCATTAGTAAACATTAGATCCAATTTGGGAATTAAAAAAAATTGTATTTTGTTCACCAATACTATTACAGTATATGGCTGTGCAATCATGAAAAAATACTTCAATATTTTAATTACAGTAAGACAATTTTTGACGTGTTTAGTTTCTTAATTTAAAACGCAAGAATTTCTTAAATACGGGCTTGTTTATTAACAAGAAAGTTATCCACCGAAACTGATTGAATTAGATCAAAGTGCCGCCGGTTCAGTGATTCAGCTGGTATCCCTATGCTATGCACAAACAATCCAAAATATTTTATATCGATAGATCGTCCCTGAAAATCCATCGTACAAAATGTTCAATCATATTCGTTTTATAAATATTCGTTTATGAGATATAGCCTGCATGAATTAGTCTGGGACACCCTTTATATTAAAAAAATGTTCTTGTAGAAGTTCAGTATCGAAAAAAAACGTTAACAGAGAACTCCACTACGGCGACACTCCCTTAAGGACGCAAACTCTGGAAAGAGAAGGCGAAACCATAAAAAGAGACATCCAATATTTGAGCGAAGGTAAAATACGCTTTGAAATAATTAGATTTTGTCGTTAATCTTGATATTTGTTTTCAGGTACTTATAAGGAACGCACGACTCGTCCAGTGTCACCGGTTGTTAATTCTAGAACATCTACACTCAGTAAACAAACCAAAGTGAGCAACATACATGACTATCCCGTAGAAGTTGTCGAAACCGTAGCTCCGGAAATTGATGCGGAGGTTTTGGCCCACATAGACCCTAATTTACGGCCTCCAGGTACTTTTAATATTCTCCAAAAAGTTATCCATTTTTTCTCCAGACTTTAAATGTGTAACAAAAAAAACAGCATTTACGAGTAGTACACGAAAAATAAGAAAAAACCCAAATTTTCACAAATGTTTTGCAACAAAACCAGATCAGATTTCAAGCTTTTTGATGTGATTACATCCATCATCAAAATTTTTAATATAAAAAAATGTTGCTTACAACTAGTGTCCTTAATTTAACTGAAATCTAATTTTAATATCATAATCAAAAATCTCATAATACAAATTTATTTTTAGCTTGATTTTTTGAAATTTAAGTAAGTGTATTGGTATAGTTATTAACTTTTGCTTAACTTTAGTAAATTTGAATAGTAATGATGTTAATTGTGTCCTTTATCTGATCATAAGGAGTTAATGGAGGGTCTCATCTGCTCACCACTGGTCCCTTCTTTAGTTCTGTAAGTAAGCAATCCTCATACTTACAAGTACGCAGCAGTAATGTGCCGGTCATGATCTGAGTAGGTGACCGAACTCGCAGGACTCGGTACCCACTTAGACGGTAGAATTAATGAATGAGTTGAATGAATGAGAAGGAGTAGGGCATCCGAATGGTAGTACAAGTCATTTGCTACAGAGGAGGGCAAAGCAGGCTGGACCTCAAGCCTGATTGATGGGAGCCACTGGCTGAACCAATGCCTGATTGGGGGCGTCTGCAGAGGGATTTATACCGGGTGTTCAAATTAAAGTGTTACAGTTAAATACCGCCGAAAATATGCATTTTAGAAAAAAAAGTTTCAGACAAAAGTTTTATAGTTTTTTGGGGGAAACATTTTGGTTAAATTCATTTTTTTATAGCTGACCATAATATGGCCATATCGAGGTGAACTTCGTTTTTTTAAATGGGAATCCCATTTTTTCTTACATATTCTTAAAGTAAATAAAAAATAAGAAACTTTTGAGGGAAATATTTTTTTTATTGGACTTTTACTTTTTGAGTAACAGCTACTTGAAAATGTTGCTGCGCGAGAAAAAAGTTCGCCATATTATGGTTAGCTATAAAAAATGATTTTAGCCAAAAGTTTTTCCCTACAAAACTATAAAACTTTCGTCTGAAACGGTTTTTTTTTATAAAAAGCGGTATATAGCTGTAACGCTTTAATTTAGAACACCTGGTATAAGATTGTATAAAATTACAATCAAAATCTTTATTTAATAATTAAAAATTTTTATTGAGAAAACGATACATTTTGTCTCCGTAGGTAACACCAAGGTAACTACGACCATCAAAACTTACACCTACGAAATTCCCGGTTCCGGGGAATTCCCGACGAATTTGACCCTCAACGATTCGAGCGCAAGCGAACAGAAATATGTATATTCTCCCAATCAAACGATAACCACGCCCAGCAAGAGTTTTGTGTACAATAAAGTGGAAAACAAGGAAAATACCGTATACCAGGATTATCCGCCATATCAAAAACCCACTTCTCCAGGTAAAAGAAACTTTTTAAAATTATTTTAACGGCAATCATTCATTTTTAATACTAATAGTGAGTGCCCGTAGCGCAACGGGAGCGTGATTTTAAAAAAAGAAGCTATTCTCGATTCAAATTATTTTCCCGCGCTGTGTAACTAGGTAAAACACATTACAGTGTCATCATACCAATCAATTTACATATTTGTAATAGACTTTTGAATCAATAGGTAAAATTCAACTTAAAGACATTATTCCTAGTGTCAAGTTAAGATTTCCGTACAGCGGTTGCCGCTGTTACCGTGGTTACCTTTGTCACTGAAATTATGACATCTGAAATTATATTTTTGAGTTCTACATTAATAGATTTGTTTACTACTTACCATAGACATCATATTATCTAAGATAGACTCGCCCTACACACTGTATACCCAATACACCTTCTGTCCGCATGTTTTACCAGACGGGGAAAGGGGAATCGTACGTCGCACATTGACGTAGTGTTTCGGGAGGGTTTACATATATTTTTAGTAAAAATTATTTAATGACCAAATCAATAACCTATGGGTCTTCGGAATCAAAGGTAAATTTAAAGAAAACATATTCAATTTATACAGGGCATTCAAAAAGTCATTTTATATATTTTCTTATAGATTAAAATAGTAGGTAGCTCAAAATGGAAGAACATTTTTGTTAGTATTTTATTATATATATTTTTTTTAAATACATGAAGAGCAAAGAGCAAGTAAAAATATAAAGCCATTTATTATTATTTTTACATGGGTACTGTTTGAAAACCTTTTCTACAGGTCGAAAAAAGAATAATTATATTGCCGGACTACCTTTTTTTATGAAATAAAAAGCTATTAAAAATAGAACAATTTTATTTCAGATACATAAATATACAAATATGATCTTTCTATTACATACCATTTGGGTTGCATGTCACGACACCTATTTTTAGAATTATTTGTGTAATGATATAATAACTCATTTAGGACAGTAATCAGCAATGATTTTATAATATCTAGACATGGCTACAACACATTAGCTTAAGATTATCAAGAGATACTTTATTTCTAATTTTTCCTAATAGAAAAAACACTAAAGAAAGCTTCTTTTGTGACATTTCGAATGTCATTTTAATATCAATGGTTACTCCTACAAATACTCTTGGTGAAGAATCTGCTCAATAGATTTATTTAGTGTTATAAGATAACTGATATTTTGTAAAGCATATTTTGGAATAAAAGACAAAATAGCTATTTGTGTATTAAGAACAGAAAGTAGCACCTTTGACAGTTGAGACAGAAATTCTGTCGAAGAGAAAAGATTTATTTTATATTTATTCAAAAAGGAGGAAAAATACAATATCAAAACTGTTATCTCAGTTATGTAATCATCATTTTCAGTATTTGTGTTTTTCCAACTGACCATTATTTTGTTATTGAGATGAAAAACCGTACGAGTCGCAGATATGTACGGTTTGTCACCTAATTTCACGGGTATAATCAGCTGTACTACATTAACAGCTAGGTATATAGTACGGTTTTTAAGCTCAATCGATGAAGAGACAAATTTTAAACGAAATGGCTTATTTTGAAATGTCAAATTTGAGACTTGTACGGTTTTCGAACTCACTGGTTCAATTGCAGAACACTGTTTGCAGTGAATCTTTTTCTTTGAGGATTTTACTATAAAACCAGAAATATAAGCAACTACATCCTGAATGTATTCGCTCAGAAAATATATAGATAGGTAATCATGGTCACGAAGCTCATTTGTAAATTCCAAATTTTCTTTAGTGTCTGATTCGTAACATTTTAAATTTATCGCAATTTGGCTACTAGTGTTGCTACAATCCAAGATGCTGGTGCCATCTAAAGCAATTGCATTGGCAGTTTTGACTTTACTTCATTATGAATTAATAATTTTTTATAACAATTTTGAAACAATCTCCATGTGAGATTGTTATTGAAGCATCTGTTACGAACTGCACTAAAAAAAGTATTTTTTTCTTCTTCATTTTTCGCCTCTTCAACTACCTCTCCCAAAATTCTGTAAAATGTGATGATTACTGTATAATTTTAGAGCTTACATATAATAAAAATACCCATAATAAATACTGTACTTACTTGATAGGTATAGCATTATGTTTTAAGATGTGTATACCACTTAAATTTTCATAAATATCTGCCATACAAAAATGGTCAGAACATATACTAAGGCTTCTTTCATTTTCATAATGTTTTCCTCCACCAAGCATAGATTTTGCAGCCAAATTCTACGTTGAATAATTTCTCTAGGAAACCTGATCAGAAAATATAGAACCTTATTATTTAAATAAACAAAATGCTAGTGCTAAATGCCTTTTCTTGAATAAAGTAAGCCTTATTCCCTGTATATGCCTACGTCTATGCTAACATAATCTTATTTATGAAATGACCGAATAACATTCTTATTCTGTGTATTTCGGCGTTACTATACATTTCCTCCCCATCGTAAAAGTCCTTAATAAAACGGTTTAGGGTTTAAATTTATTCTTGAAAACTACAAAAAACAACAAAAATCACAATAAAACTTGATCTGTCACTTTGATAATATCAGCAAAATGTCTTAGGTTGCCAAAGTTAAATGATTTATACCAAAATGTTTAATATTCCCATATGATACACATGTAAAAATAGCTACTTAAAAGTCTTAAGTGATTGCAGTTAATAAAAAACTCATATTGATGCTTTCAATTCTTTATTTCCTTTTCTTATTAGATTGTATTAAAGGTAATAGTAACTTTTTAAATAAAAATTTAATGTTTGATATTTGATGAAAGAGATCTGACAACATAGGAAGAGCGTACCGTCAAAAAAAAGTTGCGGACAAGTGTAATGTATACAAGGCGTATCTATTATCCGATATCTGGCGACTTGAGTCGTACTATGATTTATTAAAGTCAATAATAATTTTATAGCATTTAAAATGAGGCCATTTAAAAAAATTGCATTTAATCTCACCACAACTGACTAGCTCCACTATCTCGAGTTTGACATTGATGTAAAAATGTAATGCAAAAGTGAATTCGATGCTCAAAGGAAGGTGCGGATACTTTAGCATCTCCTCTTCATTCTATCTCAATGTTGTGAGCAGAGATAGTTCTCCTTACCTCTACACTCCATAGGCAACACTTGGCTTCTTAACCTGACTGTTTCATTAGTATTTGACTGTTATTGCAAATCATGCAATTAATATTCTATATATTCAAAATAAATATTTATTGATGTCAATTTTCAACTAAACATTAACATATCGAAAACAACTTTAAATACTCCAAAAAAAAATAATACAAACTTAGACTAATAACCTTACTAGAAGTGTTTTTGTCAAGGCAAGCACGTACTTTTGTTGTTTTTGCCAAGGGTCCACCCCATTAAGTCACGTTATTTGAATTGCCTAATACGTAATATGAGATTTTATAGCAGAATGTGAACTGGTTACTAGAATATCAGAGACTTGTATTCATTTCCAAATAGAAGAAAATTCTAACCAATCATAATTGGGCATTTAAAACAAAATAGTTGCCTAAGAATAAGGTACCATATGCGCATCCATCACGAGTGTAGAAATTATGCATGATTCAACTTTCCACTCTTACACACGTAAATGGCAAGAGAGGTTGCCCTAAAGCACTGTAAACAAATTCCAGGCTTGGCTTTGTTCAGCGATTATGTTTATGTTCAGCTCTGTTTCTTGTTTGTGTTGTGGCTATTGTAAGCTTTTTTGGCGTCAATTCTTTGTTATCTTGCTTATATTTGTATTTTTTGTGATTTGATTTCGATTTAGTTTTAAATTATACTTGTTAATTATTTTCCGATGCACTATTTTATAATTGAATCTTGTTTACAAAATGTGCAAAACTAAAGTGTGCATAGTGTCTATACTTTTTCATTAATAGTTCAGTCTACCCCTCTCCACTTCATTGTAGTTGCGTGATGAACATGATGCACAAGCCCCAATTTTACATCGTGTTCAATGTTCTGATATCTTTGGTTCTGTGATTGAGTTATTGCGTTTTTGTTTAGGCGTTTTAAACAAAATGCTTGCTTGTGAGCCTGATGATCACTCATTATAATAAGTTCAATAGAATAATTATTAGTATAAAAATTATAATTATAAACTTATTTTGCGGTTATACATTTATAAACACCAAAAGTTAGTTCAAGAGATAAAATTCTAAAAGAAAAGCACAATATCAAATCCATAACCACATGTCAATATTTTGACAGAAAAATATCCATTTATTGGTGATAATAATTATTATTATGAAGATATCTCTAGTCTTCATAATTATTATGTAATATCCAATGATGTGGCGCTGGGAAACAGTAACAAAGCCTACACAGAAAACGGGACTAATGGCCGTAGTAGTCGATGCCGATGACACCAAATTAAAAAAAAAATGATATTTGAGTAAAGTGTATACGATCTACCGCTTATATCACCTTATTATTTTTTAACATTAACCCTTAACGTTAAAACTACTTTCACTTAAATTTCGCGGGCTTGATGTAGTCATTTCATCCATTTACGTATAATCAAAAATCTGATGTGTCCAACACATGACTTTCCTATCTAGTTATTATAGGCTTTTTCCGGTTATTTTGTACAACCTATTTCAGCACCTCTATAAATATTTAGAGGATACATTAATATATACATTTTCCACATACATCTACCTCGAAACATTTTTCTATAGATATTCATTGAAAACGAAAATACTGAAAAATTTAAATTTAGCACTCTTCCTCCAATTTTTCCATTACGGTCCATTTTAGAAAAATTATATATAAATAAAAATTATAGAGATCGATATCGCAAACAACTTTTAGTTCAACAATTTTCATAAAAATCAGAATTTTGGACATTTTGTCAAATTTCTCGAATACGGACCATTTCAGGAAATTTTAACATAAAGCAAACATTATTACAATAAATGAGATAAAAACCACGAAGTAAAGCAAGTTACTTGTAGATAATAATATTAGAAGTAACTTTTATTTGAACAATTTTCTTCTCCAAGCATAAATAACAGACATATTCCATAAAATATAAAAACGGCCTCCCATAAAGTACCTCCCCAGATGTTCCGACTTTGTCCAAAATATTATCATTTCACGTCAGACCGAAATAAAACTTAATTTTAAAATTTAATGTTTTTTTCTTTATCCGTTTTTGAGTTTTCTTCAAAATTCCAAAGTTACACATTTTCTCAAATATCTCGAATACGGTCCATTTTAGAGAAATTATGTATAGAATAAAAATTATAGAGAATTATATTGCAAACAACTTTTATTTGAACAATTTTTATAAAAAAAAAATTTTTTTTTCATTTTGTCAAATTTCTCGAATACAGACCATTTTAGGAAAATTTTGTATAGAACAAAAATTATAGATAATAATATTAAAAGTAACTTTTATTTGAAGAATTTTCTTCTCCAAACGTAAATAAGAGATATATTCCATAAAATATAAAAATGACCACCTATAGTGTTCAGACTTTTAAAAAAATTAAAAAAAAGTTTTTGGCAGAAATAAAAATTTGAATGTAATGTAATTTGAACTGTACTCTCCAAAAAACAAAATATACACGGTGATCCAGTTAAAAAAACAAATTTAATGGAATTTCCGATAAAATAGGAAGTCGGCCATTTTTTTAAGTATGAGTGTTAATTCGAAATTATATCTAGTAGGTTTTTACAAATTTGATCCAAATCGCTTCATAAATAACAAAAGAATTATTAACGTGGCTCTTGGCTCATTGTCACTCTGTGTAATATTCGTGGATCATAAAATAATCCATACGGGGAATATGAATGTGATTAATATCAAGTGTCGGTATATTAAAAATCCTAAAAATTTGATTTAATAAATTCGTCCATTATGTAATTGACACTATTCCGAAAAATTCAATTTCAAAATAATTTTCATCCGTACTATCTACTGAAATTGTTCCCAAATCCCACATATTCCCACGCATTCTTTGTTGCTTGCTTCTTGTCTTGTTGTTTAATGTTTTGTTCTGATTTCTTTTTTATCCCTTTTTTATTTTCGTTTACTTAGATTGTATAACTAATTTTTCTCCAATTCCTTATGCATTATAAGATTTGAACCAATTTTTTCCGAATATATTTATATTACATTTTTTTTCCTATATCTCATAAATCCTCACTGGTTCAACTTATTACTTTTTATCGTTTCGGAAATACCTACTATACCAAACTTGATGGATTACCCTGTATAATAAAATGTCAGAAATAACAATTCCTAATTAACAATTAAAAGAAAAATAATACAACTTATCAAATCGCCCGCAAAACTTACAACTACTTACCAAACTAACATTTAATACCAAATAATCCTAACAGGTGGCGTTCTAGTCAAAGAAACGATAACAACTCGCAACTATCAACCAGGTTACAGGGTAGACAGATCTCCTCCCACTACCAATCAAACATACATCTACAACGAGACCAATCAGACGACGGAAAACGTGGAAAACGGCTTTCCACCCCCACCGCCGCCACCCAGTAAGGAAACTTACATTTTTAAGGAGAGTAATACCGTCGTGAATAAAAAGGACGTGCCTAGGTATCCTGATAATTATCCTCCTGGTGGTAAGGATAGTTATTATTTAAAGGAGACGCATACTACGACGAATAAAAATGACGTGCCGTTTTCTGAAAGGGGATATCCCGTCTATAATCCACCAGATGGGTAAGTTATAGTTAAATGTTTCCATATTTTCGGGAAAATTTCCCAGACTATTTATTTTGCATTTTATAGCTCCTTAGTTTTTTAATAAATTTATCTCCCCTTTAAGCTCCTTTGTCGGCGCTTTAGCTTGAAAACGACCTGTTCTAAGTAGCACAAATCTATTTTATACAACGATTATTTAAACAATTATATTTCAAATATTATTTTAAACTGTTATACAACTTCTATAAATACGAAACAAATTTATGTTCTTAAAGTTATTAAATTGCGATTGCATAAAATAGTCATAAAACATTTTTATAAAATGTATAGAACTATTGTAAATATTTTATAAAATGGTTATGTAACAGTTTCATTAAAATGTTATAAGATGAACCGGATTATCTTTGGTAATAAATACAAAATATAGGTGATTTTTTTGTACATACAACAGTTTTTGCTTAGTTAATTATAAAAATTTGGTAATTCTGAAATTTTCTAACCACACGATTGACCATATTTCGAGTGTTATAATAAGATACCGAATATTGTAGACAATATTCATTCACTTTTAAATCTAATTTTTATATTTAATATTACATTTTTCATCCTTTTTTTAACATAATCCTTTGTTAACCCTATCTTCTTTCCATCCCTCTACCTTCATTTTTCAACATGATTTAAAGAACCCATGTTTTAGTTAAATTAATGTTAAAGCCAGTTGCCAACCCCCTTTTTTAATCTAATAAAATTGTATGTAGTACTGTATAACTGTGATTGTAATTAGTATAATCACCAGTCACTTGAGTAATATGTAAATTAAAAGAGCGTGGTTCTACTTCAGCCATTTATTAATAACTCCATTCCACAATACCATTGTCCATTCAATGTCAACTTTCCGCTCGCAGGCGGTGTTGCCAGAGTAGGCCACTAGCCTTTTACTACTTAACAGTACATGATTTTGAGAATTTAATTTTTTTAGAAATATATCAGTTCAGTCTAATATACAGGATGTGACAAAAAGATGTATAGTAAATTTAACCACAGTTTAGGAGGTCGAAAATAAGTTGCTTTAAGCTAACTGGCATGCATAAAAAATGTTTTGTAAAAAAGTTACAGGGTGTTAAAATAGAAATTTCAGATGTGTTATAGTGCTCTTAGTCTAAAACGGCTTAACGTATTTTTGTGAAAATGTAAGTGCATGCAATGTTAGCATACAGTGACCAATAAAATGGAGTTAGTAGCGTTTAAAATTGTTTTAAATCTATAGGTTTTTAGGCGGGTTTTGACTACAATTATTCCCCTGTATATTTGAACACCCATAAAATAGTAAAAAATCGTGAACAAATATCCAGTAATGGTTTAATATCAATAGAAAAAATTTATTGTAAGTATTCTTCACTATGACCTTCCTTCTGGGATCTATAACTCAGTAAATAAAGCTTTTACAAACAAATTCTAACAGACAAAAAAAAAGATGAAAGATTTCAGTGGCGTCCTGTTTTTTAAATGAATTTCATTGTCTAAAAAAGTAAGAGTCAAAGGGGTGCGGAACCCTTCTAAAAACCTATAGATTTAAGACAATTTTAAACGCCACTGCATTTTACTGATCATTGCATGTATACCTAGTAACATTCCATGTACATGTTTATATGTGAAGCCATTTTAGAGTTAGAGCACACTAAATCAGTTCTAACTTTTTTCCTTTAATACCCTGCAACATTTTTAACATTTATTTTTTATACAAGCAAGTTAGCTTAAATCGATTTTCGACAAAAGAAACTGTGGTTAAATTTATTGTACTTACATCTTTTTGTTACACCCAGCATCATTGAAAGATGAAACGAACTTATCTGAAGCGATGGTTGATCTCAATTATATGAAACACCTTATTCATAATGATCATAGGTAGTACCCCTTTTTCTGCTCTGCGGCCATTTTAAAGTTTAAATATTCTCAAAAGTATTTCGAGTTCCAAAATAACAACTGGTCCATGTCTATGCCAAACTTGCTCACCTTATCTGCACTCGTTCTGACAGTCACTCGGCTGTACACTTTAATGTCCTTTTACCTTTAAAGCATTTAAATCACAATTAAATCTTGCAGATATGATCTTGGGTTATAGGAGTGGGTAGGTTCGATCATTTTGAACAAGACGTTTCATATAATAGAAATCGAACTTAAGTTCATTTTATCATTGCAACATAATTAACTAACACGAATTTGAGTATCTACAATGTAACTTATAACAACTAGAAACATACAACGAAAGATAACGAAATCAGGATTCCAAAGGCAAAATCATGCTGATCGTGATTTATAACAGGTCTTTTATTTCAAATTTGGGGACTGACACAGACAAGTTGTTTTTTTTATCGAATTCTCGAAGTACTTTTGACAGTACCCAGACAACACACCAAATCCCAGAGATATCCACAGAATATCTTCTGTGGATATCCAATATATCTACAGGATATCAGAAATATTCCGTGGATCTAATATGGATATCCAAATGTCCGTCTATATCCAGAATATAGAAGATATCCTAATGGATATTCAGCAAAATATCTAATGGGTATCTTCCAGAAAATACAAGAAATCCCAGATATATCCACAGAATATATTTTGTGGATATTCAATATATCCAATATGGATATCCAACCAAATGTCCGTCTATATCCCAGGATATAGAAGACATTCGGATATTCAGCAAAATATTTTATGGGTATCTTTAGTAGAGGTTCATAAGTAACCAATGATTATTGAATAACGTCGAAAGAAAATAGCAGAGATAAAAAATATTTTCAACACTCAAAATATTTTCAACACTCTGCCTTTGATTTTGCCCACTAAGGAGAAAGCCATCCTTATTAGGACTCTTCAGCAATAAATAGAAATTCTCGACTCCAGTCTCTAATGGAGTCTGTAGGACAAAAATTTCGATCGAACTCTATTACGGCGGGTCGAGCATGAGTAGATGCGATAGTGGTATCGCCATCTATACTTAGTAAGCAGAATCAAATAACATTTAGTGGATATCCACGATGGTTTGCGTTCGCGCCTTGACTTTGATATATTTAGTGGATGTTCATGGGATATTGAATACACCTTAAAAAAATTAATTTAAAATATCTGAACGGTACTATTAGCCATAATGGCGAACACAATGGCGTAATTTTTTAATAATTTGCTATATAATTACTATTATTTATGGACATTGGCATGTCTATAAATTACATCTCATGGATATAAAATATATATCTACCATGGACTGGACATTCAGTGGATATTGGGATGTTCAGTAGATATCCAAAGGATTTGGTGTGCTGTCTGGGTATATAGACATTAAAATAAATGGCCACATAGCGGGAAAGAGAATACTGCCTATTATTAACAGTAAAAACAATTTAAATTCCAGTCGAAACACTCCCAGCACCACCTACTACCTAAAAGAAACCCACAACACGTCGACCACCAACCGCCCAGGTTCCCCGTACCAAAACGGCTACCCCCCAAGCGATTCACCCAACAAAACCATCATCTACAAAAACGAAACTCAAACTACCAACAACACGTACGGTCCCAACCGTCCTAAGACGCCGGAAGTGGAATCCTTCGATCCCAAACACCCGCCGTACCCATACAAGAACAAACCCAATGAGCCCATCAACATCCATTACTCATACAAGTCGACCAGCAAGACGGAGAATAATTATAAAGGGGGATATCCCAACGGGGAGACGGAGCTGCTGTTGCCGAAGAAGTTTCCCACTGACGACGGACCGGATGGACCGCCGAAAAAATTGGACGATCTCATGGCTACTATAGGACACGAAGTGAGTTTATTTTATAAATTTGTGGTTAATTTTTCGTATTTATTTCCTGGACTATAATTTTTTTTTTTTTTTTTCATTTATTTTGGTTGTATAAATGATTTTTTTTACTAAATATACTGGTTATGAGATTAGTCTCTAAGGTAAATATTTATGTTTCATGTTTAACGCTCATTGCTATCACAGTTTTCTCCATTATTTTGGCCGTCATCATCACTAGGATTTATATTGTAGCTAAACTTCTAAAGCCGGAGATACTTATGCAATCAAATTGGGCTAGTAGCTTGCATGCCAGCAGCTTGCATGTGCCAGTAGCTTGCAGACTCAGGATACATTTGCAAATAAAATTGCATGTCGGTAGCTTGTATATGTCAGTAGCTTGAACACAGAGGATACATTTGCCAGTTGAAATGTAAGCAAGCCTTAAGGAACGTGGTGATTTCGAAAAGGTTCGAATTGAATTAAAAAGTGTAATATTGTCACTTGCAACAGAATGCGTATGTCAAATAATACAACTTAAACGGAACAGAATAATTGATATAGGCATTTTCACGTGCTATTTTATTTTAATACAGAGATGAATTACTCGAGTTCCGCAAATATTCGTAATTTCTATATAAACAAATAAACTTTATCGTGTTTTCATCTCCTCACCGAGAGATGATGATAATGATGACATATCAACAAAACGAAAAAAAAAAAAAAAAAAGAAAAATCTAGTGGTGATGACGATCACAACTTGCATGCAAGTACTGGCATGCTAGTAACTGTCGTCTGTGTTCACACGTTCAATTTGACTTGCAGTTTGTATTTCCCCACCACCCAACTTGCACATTGCATGCCAAAAAATCAAATCTTGTTCAATCTACAAGGTACTTGCGTGCAAGTTAAAGCCGGCTACTCACTGCGCGTTACTTGCCGAGTTACTTGACTTGGACTGAACTTGGCAAGTACTTGTTCGAGTACAAGTAAATCGTCTACATTACGCGCGCCTTCTAAAGTAGTAGTAGTAACTTTACTCGGATCCTTTGACTTCGGTCCGTTTACTGACAACCGACGGGAAGTACAAGTAACTTGCTGAGTCTATACAAGTCTCCAAGTCTCTTACATGGTACTTGCAAAGTACTTGGCAAGTAACGCGTAGTGAGTAGCCGGCTTAACAGATACACATTCATGTAGCTTGCACATTCAAGTAGTTGGCATGCTAGTGTACAAGCTACGGGCATGTGTATCTCCGGTTTAAAGCACGCTGGATTTCAATTAAATTTATTTTAGTTTTAAATGTTTTGACAACTATGATACCACAGCATAGATACTGTGATGATACCATTGGCACATCCGTTGTCATGGTTACTTTGTTTTGTTTAGATATAATGACATCACACTATCACGGTCTAAGTTAATAACACAGGAAAATTTATATATTTTTTATTATGATCAGAATCTTGATATACCCCCCCAGACAACACACCAAATCCTTTGGATATCTACTGAACATCCCAATATCCACTGAATATCCAGTCCATGGTAGATATCTATTTTATATCCATGAAATGTAATTTATAGACATGCAAATGTCCATAAATAATAGTAATTATATAGCAAATTATTAAAAAATTACGCCATTGTGCTCGCCATTGTGGCTAATAGTACCGTTCAGATATTTAAAATTAATTTTTTTAAGGTGTATTCAATATCCCATGAACATCCACTAAATATATCAAAGTCTAGGCGCGAACGCAAACCATCGTGGATATCCTCTAGATGTTATTTGATTCTGCTTACTAAGTATAGATGGCGATACCACTATCGCATCTACTCATGCTCGACCCGCCGTAATTGAGTTCGGTCGAAATGTGTGTCCTAATCACTCCATTAGAGACTGGAGTCGAGAATTTTCATTTATTGCTGAGTCCTAATAAGGATGACTTTCTCCTTAGTGGGCAAAATCAAAGGCAGAGTGTTGAAAATATTTTGAGTGATGAAAATATTTTTTATCTCTGCTATTTTCTTTCGACGTTATTCAATAATCATTGGTTACTTATGAACCTATACTAAAGATACCTATAAAATAATTTTCTGAATATCCGAATATCTTCTATATCCTGGGATATAGACGGACATTTGGTTGGATATCCATATTGGATGTATTGAATATCCACAAAATATATTCTGTGGATATCTCTGTGATTTCTTGTATTTTCTGGAAGATACCCATTAGATATTTTGCTGAATATCAATTAGAATATCTTCTATATCCTGGATATAGACGGACATTTGGATATCCATATTAGATACACGGAATATTTATGATATCCTGTGGATATATTGGATATCCACAAAAGATATTCTGCGGATATCTTTGGGATTTGGTGTGTTGTCTGGGCGGGCCTAAGGTGTTCTTTGTTTTAATTATGTACAAATCTGAATAAACATGGGCGGATTAATAGGGGATTTAAATATTAAAAAAATCATAACTCAAAAACAAAAAATGATATTAACTGGAAATTTTTAGCAAAAATCAAGCTCTATAAGAGGAAGAAGTCCTTTGATTTTGAAAATATCTGATCAAAAATGTGAGGGATAACGGGGTTGAAATAAAAAAAATCATAAATCATAAACCAAAAATAATAAACTTGAAATTTTTAGTAAAAACCTGAATAGGGGGGTTGAGGGGTGGCTGAAATATAAAAAAAATCATAAATCAAAAATGAAAAGCGACATGACATTTTTAAAAATCTTAATAAAAATGGGGGATAATGGGGGTTGAAATATTGAAAAAATCCTAACTCGGAAATAAAAATCGATATGAAATCGAAATCTTCAGAAAAAATCAAGCTTTATACAAGGGCATGAAGCCTATTGAATCTGAATAAAAATGAGGGCTTAAGGTGGGTTGAAATATTTAAAAAAGCCTATTGATTAAAAAAAATGGTTAACAAAATGGGAGGTTACAGGGGGTTGAAATAAAAAATATAGAAATCAAACACCAATAGAGATATCAACATGAAATGTTTAGTAAAAATTAAGATCTACAAGGAAATGAAGTCTATTGATTCTGTTAAACTGTGAAGAATATTATATAGAATGCCAAGCATTATACATCTGTATGTATATATTCTTCATTCTGGTTTTTATATGTTTGATGTTATATTGTTTTCCTTTTCTGAGTGTTTTGAGAATTATCTAAAGCAATTTTTGTTGTCCTATATTGTATTCTTCCAATTTTTCGCTGAATTCTGTCCAATATTTTTCTTTTGCTTGTTTTACCGTCTCTTTTACTTTTGTTCGTTGCCTTTTATGTTCTTCATAATAATTTATGGTTGATTTATTTTCTAAATAATTTTTCCATTTTTGTTTTCTGTTTTTCACTTTTTTTAATTTCTTGGTTCCACCGCTTTGTTTTATAGTGTTCCTTATCTTACTGTTGCGCATGTTTCTTTTACAAATTTTCATTATTGTATACTCAAATGCTTTCCATATATTGTGAATATTATAGACTGAGATAGCTAGGACAAGGTGGTACGATCGTACTTAGTAGAATTTTGTGAATTCGTAGGCAGGATCATTAAGAAGTGTCATCTGCAAGAAAGCAAACGAGACGTCAGATGACTCAAATAAATTGTAATGTTTTTTTGAGATACAATACACATATTTGATTAGATAACTTACTTGACTGACCCGTTCTCTCAGTATGTTAAGCATTAAATATTAGTCAAATTTGAATTTCGCTACGCGGTTCAGTTCACGATGAATAAAATATTCTTTTTTTTTTTTATTTTGGACAAAATATTAAAATTTAAAAACGTATTATCATTGTTTATTTATTTTAAATATATTTTAATTATATATATTTTAAAAAAATAATAAGTAACAACAGTACATATTTTTTTAATTTTTATATTTTTTCCAAAATAAAGAGATTGTATTCATTAGGAATTGAACCGCGTCGTGAAATGCAAATTTGACTACTTACTGAGTGTTTAACAGACTGAGCTAACGGGTCATGCCAAGTTATCTAATCAAATGTGTAATGTATATTTTTTAGCCGATATTTTTTACAACTTTTAGTTGTCGTTTGTAGGAGTTTTAAACTAAATCCTTGGTGGTTCCGATCACTTCACAATTTCCAGCCAGACGTACGATCGTACCACCTTGCGGCCACTTGCTCTTAACTGTTAGTGTTTATGTCTTCAAAAATAGTGTCAATTTTAATTTTTTTCTTTCTCTATATACAGTTTTGTAATCTCTCTTTGTTGCAGTTTATATGATTTTATTTAATCTATTTTTTTATTTTCTCTATTATCATTTTTATTTTCTGATTCTATTTTACCAATTTTGGGACTACTAAATAATGGTAAAATTTATGAAAAAATTGGAAAACGAAGCTTTCAATTATAAAATATCTGATCAGCAAATAATAAATTTTACGAATAATTTAATAATGAAATTCGATTTTTTTCAGCCACCAACGAGTCCCTTGAACGTCGGTTTCCTACAAGCCGAACAGGAAAGAGCCCACCAGAAAAAAGCCGATACTCTTAAGAGGCAAGCCACCGAAGCTGAAGACTTGCAAAAGAAAGAACCACCATCGAAAACGAAGAACGTTTCCGGCCCTCCGGTTTACTATCCACCCGGCGATATGTTCCTCAAAAAAGAGGAAGGGGAGGCCGCCTGGAGAGCACAGGTCGGTACCTGAAAATATTTAAATATTTACGATACCATTCAAACGAACGTTAGGAACGTTTATCACACGATTAAGCATAACCTTAAAAGTATTAGTACTGTCTTTCATCTCTTTTTAATCTTTCACTCATATCGCTTCTCCGAAATATTGACGCAAGTTGGAAGTATAATATTTGACATTAAGGAATGTCCTAGAAATAATAAATGGGCATTCGTATCTAGCATAATTAGTTTAGTGTTAGATAGGACTATCTGGGTTGTTAAAAAAAAAATACAATTATACAGGCTATAAAAATTAAGAATCCTCCAATTATTGTGTCACTGTTCCTCTAGAAAATGCCAAATCACGACGTTGTTTACTGCCTGGTGATGGTAAATTGTGGGTTAATTGAGATGATTAAATGACGCAATTGTCACAAGTGTTAACAAATAGCACTTATTTTGTAGCATAAAGAACGATTTAACATAACTGACCGTTACCTGGTAGTTAAAGTGGTGGTTGAAAACCCGTCGTAATTGAACGACGGAACTGCTCTTCGGCGATTGATAAAAGGTATTACACAATTATGTCGTTGTTCCACCAAATAAAATTACATTTTTATTCTAAAACAAAATTTACACTTGCGTCATTGTTCCTTGAAAGAGCGATATGTACTTTTTCGAAGCGCGGAAACAGTGAAATGAACTAACGTTGCTTTTGCGACCAACGCCGCTTTAAGCTTCTGGAGTAAATATTATTTCATCTCTCTCATATTAAACGTATTTATTGCATGAAGCAATTAATGTATCATCGCCTAAGTTATGTTGGGAATGGGGTGTTAATACATTGCGACCTAAAAGGTCTATTGTGCTTCCTTCTGTCGCTATTGCAGCAAGGAAATGTCTCAATACCTATAACGACCTATCTTCTCAAGGAAGTGTAGGATTTGGGGTGGCTTCTATTTGATATGCTCCTAGGTATAGTGCCCTTGGATGCTGCTAAACATTCAGTTAGAATGTGAATGGAGGTTTCGTCCTCTTCCTCACAGAATCTGCACTCACTATCTTCTACTACTCTCAGTTTACTAAGGTGTCCCTTTAGTCGGCAATGCATAGTAAGGATCCCTGTTCTTGCACAAGCAGATGCAGGCTTTCGACCTTTTCTGGTTATATTCATCTAGAAGTAGCTTAGCCTGTCTCAGCCCCAAGAGATTGTTTCAATTATCGGTTCTTCTACTGGCCAGTCCTTTTTTAATCTCTCCTAATATTATGTTACTGCTGATACCGCAGAACGGCTCAGGTCCCACAAAGGGTGTTTGAGTCCCTTTCCTTGCGAGACTATCTGCAATCTCGTTACCCTGTACCCCGTTATGTCTCGGGACCCAAGTGAGAGTAACTCTATTTTTCTCGCCTAGCTCATTCAATTGTTCTACGCATCTCCAGAGAGCTGATTTCGTAAGAGCTCAGTGCTTTGCTGGCTGCTTGGCTGTCGATGTTAAACTGGATACACTTCTCGATGGCGTGAATTTCCGCCTGGTAAATGCTTGGGTATTTTCTCAAGCTTTCGAAGTGCTTGGTTCTCGGCTCATACACTCTCCTATTCCAGTTCCTTCTATGGTTTTGGAACCATCCTTATACCACTGAATAGCATGTCTTTCGGTTGCAAGCGAGATGGATTCTTGACTCCATTCTTTCTTGCAGCCCAGCTCTGTGGTTTTGAAGTTTTTCATAAAACTGTACTTCTTTATCATTTCATCCTGGGGCATATCCCAGGTATCTTTGGTACTGAAGCAAGTAGACTTTCGTCTGATTAGTCCGTTCCTGATCAGTCTATATCGTGTCCTTTTTGCACATTCTCTATCATTAATTGTAGAGGGGCCGTAGGGCAGGTTCTCATTGCACCTAACATTCATCGCCTAACATTCAATAACTTTCATAAGAAACAAAAACCGGCATTTTCATTAGTACTTCGTTACTAATTGGATCTTCTTACATTAAAAGGGGAATTCAAAAGATGTAGGATGTAAGATGTAGGATAAAGTTTAGGTAAAACCTGTGATGGTAAATATGTAAATATTTCCAGAGTTTGTTTTAATAGAATAAATAGGAAGTTACTATTTTTAAATCCGGAAAAGAAAGATGCAGATGCAGATCAAACTCCAAAGATATTAAAATAAATACAGAGTGAGTTTTAAGTATGGAACGCCCTAATTATCTCTGAAACGGCTTGCACGATTTTTATAAACTTTGGTATGTAAAGATTTTGTAATACGGCCGATATTATGGTTGTATTTATATTGTTGTTAGATCTTTCGGTTTTCCGGAAATATAATGAACTTTGTTATTTCAAATGGATCAACCCGTATACCCAATATTTTTCATGTATATACAAAAAAAAAACAAAAAATATCCGGAGTGATTCATTTGAAATAAGTTTATTATATTTCATTATATTTCCAGAAAACCGTAAAATCAGACAACAATGTTAATACAACCATGATATCGGCCGTATTACAAAACCTTTATATGCCAAAGTATATAAAAATCGTGCAAGTCGTTTTCGAAATAATTGAGATGTTCCATACTTAAAACTCACTCTGTATGGTTCATCCTAAGTGAAAACTATATAGGGTGCGTGTCATTTGAGAAAGCCTATAAGTCACAAATTTGACATATTCCAAAAATAGCGGATTCTTATTGCTAACACTTCGGTGCACATTCCAATGAGAAATCCCATTAGTCGTAGTACTTCTTGTATTAAATTTTCAAACGTCAAAATCTGCTTTACTTGAGAAACCCCATAAGTCGCTGACTAATGGTATTTCTCTAATACACGCGGCACGAGATAATACAATCAGCTGGCGTAGATTTATCGAAATACAGGCTTCTAACGGTGTTTGCGCACCAATAAAAAAACTAAGACCGACATTGACAACTTGTGAACTGTATTAAATTATGTTGGAAATACCTGTGTCCGTAGGGATGGAAGGATTAGTGCTTGGGTCAACACATCACTTTCTAATTACTACACACTTTATTTCAAAACACTACTGAGACGATGTTAATTTTATTACATGGTTCACTTACAAACTACATACTTTTTGCCATAAATACAGACTTTTCTTCGGAAATTTGTTACTTAAGCATTTAAGCCATTTTTACACCGCAGAATAATGTTTTGTGTTTGAGAGATACTGAAGCTCTGCCGGGAGAAAAGTTGCTCAGCTAGATTGAGAGTGACGCTCGACGTTGACCAATTAGGAAGTGCCTAACGCCGGTGTTTTTAACCAATGATGGCGATTGCCGGGTATGGATGACTAATGAGAAATGAAAAAGAAGTGAATGACGCCTGTGACGTAGCTATTAGACGGGAGAGCGTTCTTATCGGCCAAGGCAGTGCCGCAGAGACACCTCCAGGAGTAAAAGGCAGTGCGACTTGTATAGACGTCTCCAGGAATAATAAGGAATTGAGAATGAAAGCTTAGCGCAAAGTTGAATATAATTCAATAAGTATCACAAGATAAAAAGATATAACATAAAATAAGTCGGTATGTGCATTTTAAACATTTTTTCGAAAATATGAAGGAGTTCTTGTTACAAATCTTCTATAGATGGATCGACTTGTGATACATTTCGAAATACATCTACACATCCTTTGTCTCTTTCTGTCAAAAAGGCTTTTGTTGGAAAAATACCTATTAACAAAGAGAAGATAAATGATTTTGACAAACTAAAGCAGTATCTTCCGGAATAAGAAGACGTACTTGAATGTTATAAAGATAACTGGCGACGGTTGATAATGATAAGGTTTTAGATGAAATTTTAGATTAAATAAAAATATTGTTAATTAAACATTTATTTCATTAAAATATACTTCCCAATAAATTAACGCACCATCGAAAAATAACAAAAAGTTTAAAGTAAATGTTTGTCAAAACCACTTTGTCTGATTTGGATGATTTTTTTTTTTTTAATGACAGGTTGTTGTTTCCAGAACATCAGTTTTATTAATACAGGGTGTAGCAATTATAGCGTGATTTTTTCCTAAAAGTTGTAATACCCTGTAGAGTGCAACAGTTACATTATCAAGTTCGCATTGGTATGACAATAATCTTTGTCATTATACGAGATACACTATTTTATAACATAACATGATTTTATTAAAAATTAATATCAAAATTTAACAACAAAAACACGAAACACAATTTAACGAAATAAGTTAGACGAAAGTGTAAGTAGCGAGTATTTCCGCCTCTGGCACGAATAACTTCTTGCCAACGGCGGCCCATACTTAAAATAAGAGTCTTTATGTCATTTTGATCCAATTCTTCCCATATTTGAATCAGTCTTTGCCGTAATCTCCTCCCAATAGTATCTCAGAGATTTTCTATCGGATTTAAGACCGGGCTCCGAGCTGGCCATGCCATGGTAGCGATACCAACTTCCTCTAGATTATTTCTCACAACTCGAGGCCTAGCATTATCTTGCATCAACAAAATCCTTGTCCTATATATGGTGCAAATGGCACTACATGTTTGTCTAAAATCTCCAATATGTACCTGTCAGCTATAAGGCTTCCATTTAGGACTACAAGTTCTGTGCGATCAGTCAAAGAAATGCCTCCCCAGACCATCAGAGATCCTCCTCCAAATAATGTTGTCTGTGAGAAATTACACTGAGCATACCGTTCATTATGGCGTCGATATACACGCATACGCCTGTCATTGTTATATAGACAAAATCGAGACTTATTAGTAAATAATACCTGTTGCCATTTAGCCTCTAACCAGTTACGATGGCTCCCTGGTAAAATATAGCCTTGCTCTGCCATGAACTCTACTTAGAGCTGGACCTCGAACAGCTATTCTAGGCCTCAAATTATGTTCCCTTAGTCGCTGACGAATAGTTTCTGTACAAACTTCTACACCATTGGCATCTAGAACAGCCATATTCAACTTGCGGCCCGCGGGCCGCATGCGGCCCTCCAAGCTTTTTTGTGGCCCGAAAGAAGGTGCTTTTTTAAAACTATAGGTTTCTGATTTTAAAATTCTGAACAAAATACGCAGAAACATTTATCGGATGCTGCGCTAAATATAACGTTAATTTTTAAATAAACGTTTGCAAGGACAAGATGGCTTCACTTTCGGCATTTTCGAGTTAAGTACATTTTCGTCTTCAAAATGTTTCAAATAATATACGGCATAAAAAAGACAAGTGTGAACGCAGTATTCATGAAAAAAAGATGGTCAACAAAAAGTAACTCCATATTAATACATTCACAATATTCACAAACAAGATCAGTGGAATTTATACAGAAATATAATCATAACGTTGTATTCAGTTGCTATTAATGTGTCTCTACCAAAACCAGATAAGAGGCATATAACTTATTTTTGCTAAATGTGTTTAGTCCGATTCCTAACAGTGTTTCTGCCAAAATAATATACAGGCCAGAACACTCATTTTTGTTGAATGTATTTGTTGAAATACTTTAACATTTTTGGCAAGCCATTTGTTCTGTTTTGCCTAGAGCCGTCTCTGGCCTTTTTCGATTGGTCCGAAATCGACAAGGTGATTATGTCACCCTTTCTTTTCGCGATACCTAACCTTTAAAACTCAATAGATGATAACACGTTATGCTCGAATTGCCGTGGTGAGTGATTGATTAATCAAGCCGTAATGAGTGGTTGGTCAAGCTATAACGAGTGTAGATGCTGACTCTCGTCTCCATATTGTTTTCTCATTAAAACGACCAAAAGCACTTCTTAAATCACCGAAACACCAGCTTTTCGCATTGCTTGAATAACCCAAGCCAGAAGGATGTCTGAAAGGGTGAAAGAAGCTCTGAAATACTTACAAAAAAGTACAAGACATTAGTTAGCAAATCAGATGCTGCATCTGATGAATGTAACCATTATTATCACAATCGACCTGTATCCAATAATGTTAAAGACGCGATACCTGAACTTCCATCGAAGGTAGTGACACAGAAATTGAATATTATGTCCTGCATGTAAACAGCTAAAAGTGACGTTTTTTTCTTTTTCTTTTGTTACAAATTACAGATTCTTAGTTTATACTTTTGAATACATTTTTTTTTTTCATTGGAGTTATCTATTAAGCAGTTTGAAGCTTTTACTGATTTTTTATTCAATTTTAAATTTTTGAGCAGCGTTTTCTCGATACATTAAAAATGTTAGTTAACTTGTTTTTGCAGTAACCCGATAGGATAATTTATGTTTTATATATTTTATATATTTTGTTCTCTTTAGAAAAAAAGCACAAGTTGTTTTGATACTATCAAATAGTAAACCAATCTTGCAATAGAAAAAAAATCAATGCTTTGTCACATACAGACGATTTAAGAAATTTTTTTTTAATATCCCAAACTTTTCTGACTTATGGTGTTTCTCAAATGACTGATTCAAATTTAAAAGCCGCAACGTGTTGCAATAAAGGGGCAAATTTTTAGTAAAATTTATGTACAGTCGACGGTTTCCAACTGTGAACACTCTTTGGTTATCATGGACGTTGCATAAGACATTTTTTTTTATTTTTCATTATTAAACAAGTTTTTCGAGACCAAGTTTTTTTTACTTTATAATAAGTGCAAGTGCTTTTTTTAATTTCGGTGCAAGAGGAGGCAGCTCCAATTGTTTTTTTTTGCATTTTTTCTTTAAACAAAGATATGGCACCAACAAAGAAGTTCTAAATTACATGTATATCACCCTTTTATAATGTTTTATGTTTGATAAAACATTCGGCAATTTTTATAAAACGTTATTTTTCTTTTCCCAAAAGTTAACAAAAATGGAGCTGCCCCCTTGCATCAAGGTCCTCAATTTTGGTTAGGTTTTGCAGTAAATTGGATGTTAAAAATTATTATTTTTTTAGGGAGGATATGCCAAAGCGTCAGGAAAGTACCAGTACGAAGCAGAGAGTAAAAGCAAATCAAAGAGTAGCAGTGGAGCCACGGTGGTTCCAGTGTGTCTGCCGTTGTGCTGCGGTCTACCTTGTACAATTTTGTAAACATTATACATACCTTGTTCTTATTTAAAATGTACTAAGAATTCTTAAAGTGCCTTATTTAGAAACAAAAACATACAAGGCGACTCATTTCTAATCACCTTGTATAATTTATTACGGAAAATAACAATTAAAACTAATGCTTTTCAATAAACCGTATATTTAAGAGGCTGTATATAGTTGTACTTATTAGCAATATGAAAGAAAATAATCCAATGGGGTTAAATCGGAAGATTTTGTAGGTCTTATAAAAAATAATCAGTGAACTTTTTCAGTCACATTTAAATGTTTTCTTGCTAGCTTTCAATATTGCCAGACTTAAGCCTAATGGATTATTTTGAGATGACCTTAAAATTTGCCAAATTTAAATATGGCAGTTTAAATTAGGTAGAAAAGCCTCTTTTTGTCATTTTTATGGTGCTATGAATTGTTTTGTTAAAAATACCTCAATAGTTTTATTTCATTTAAAGGATACTGATAAATAACACTGAAACAAATAATACAAAATTCTAAAACTTACCGCGGTATCAAAACCATGATATTAAATTAACTCGAATCGTAAAATCTAAGTAAATAGTTTAAATTTAACTCAAACATTACCTTATTGTAAAATTTGTAATTTTTCTCAGTGTACATAAATTGTTGATTTGGTATAAGAAGCTTTAAAACTCTCAAAATGTATTTTATTCGTTTTATTCATAAATATTTAAATAACAATCTTGCCTGTTAACACATTGTGTCTAATTAAAAAAAAAAGTATTTTATTATAAAATAAATTATTAAAAAACTATTTACTGTGCGTTTGAATTTTGACTCCTATCCTGAGACAGGCCAAGTAATACACAATCAGCTTCTAGTAGGGTTAAGTCCTTTTCAAAGCCTAAAAACTTTGATGACAATTCTAATTCCTTTATCATTAATCTCACTTTCGCTCCTCTAATGTAGTTCCTAAAAAAATCAAATGTTAAAATCGACTTATATCTAACCTACATACACTTTTGTATTATAGAGTGCCAGAGTGCAAATGGATATCAAAGTTGTAGAACAATTTCAAAATAGTCACTTACTGAAGACATTACAACTAAAGTAATAGATACACCAAAAATCTGTAGGTACAGAAATATTATTGCAAAACTAAACAAACAAAAAAAAAACAGAAAAGGGAAACAATAGTTATTGAAAGTATAGGCTGTATAGGTAGGTTTATTGATTATACAATAATTAATAATAATCTAAAAGATATTACATGGAATTATTGGTTACATGATATTAATGCAAAATACAGAGATTTTTTCAATAAAATTTTGAAAGTTGCCAATGAAGTGACACCAAAAAAACAAGTTAAAATTTTACCATATTATCAGAACTAGTGGAATGATCAGGTTAGAGCTGCTACTAGTGTGAGGTTATAAAACATTTATTACTAACAAATCACGAGGAAAACTGGCAAATATATAAATGAAATAGGAATAAAGCCGTGAATGTAATTAAACATGAAAAAAGCAAATACTTGGAAACTAAAATATATTTAAACAAGGGTAACCCTACTGGGATGTGGAAAACTTTGAAATCTTTCATCCCAACAGCTAATATTGCAAGCAGTTTTACTAATACTTATATTGAATTCGACAATATTTGTGACAATCGTCAGGATTTTACTTTTCCAAATGCTTTAAATTATTACTATGTAAAGAACATTGAACAAATATTTGCTGTTCCTGAAGTGGCGCTGGGAAACAGTAACAAAGCCTACACAGAACACACATGATTGAGAATTTAAACACAAACTTGAGACTGGCATATTAGGTATATACACCTAGGCTATAAATAAATAAAAAAAAAAAAAAGTGAAATTGAAACTTTTGTAAATTTTAAACTAATTAATTATGATGAATTAAAAGAAATATTATTTTCAATGTCAAATAAAAATAGTCCAGACGAAATATCCACAATTTTATTAAAAGAATGTTTTGAGAGTTTATCCCAACCTCTATTACATATTATAAATTTTTCTATTGAAGCAAACTTAGTTCCGGGCGGCATATTTACACATCCTCCTAAATGACGGCACCGGAGTGCTGAAATCTGTTCGCCTTTGTAACCTACAAGTACGCTACAAAAGCTCATTGATTTAGGCACCAATGCATGAGGCCTCTTTTTTTTTGTGTCATCGGCTTCAACTGCTAAGGTTATTTCGCCTCGTGTTCTATGTAGGCTTTGTTACTGTTTCCCAGCGCCACTTTAGGAACAGCACTGTTAATTAGAACCCAACAGTGAATTGCTGGAATTAGTAAGCAAGCTTATCTGCATTCTATGAAACAATGGCTGTACTTAAACTGCCGTTAAACGGTCGTGTACTAAAATGCCGTTAATAGACATGATGTCATTCAAATGACGCATATGAAGTGTTGTGGGATTAAAAAAAAAGAAAATATACAAGAATAAAACAAAGCAACGACTTCTCGTAAAATTTTAACCCATACCTGGCTACGCCTACCGGCATAGACGCCAACGGCCTGGACACAGCTAAAATTGAAAAGTAAAGTCTTACATAACATAAAATTTGTATGGATTTTTTCAATGAGCTTTTGTAGCGTACTTGTAGGCTACAAAGGCGAACAGGTTTCAGCACTCCGGTGCCGTCATATAGGAGGATGTGTAAATATGCTTCCGGGCGATATTAAGATTGTTACAATAATTCCGATACCAAAAATTTCAAATCCAAGTAAAAGCTACCCATTTAAGACCGATAAATTTGATCAATGCTGTTGGAAAATTAATAGAAAAAGTAATGTATCTTCAAATTATTGATTATTAAGAGGGGAATAGTTTGATAAGTAATGTGCAATCAGAATTCTGTAGTAAACACAACTGTGAAACTGCTTTACAGTTGGTGTTTCATGACTGGAAGTTATCAATTGAAAATAATTTGGTTACACTGGCGGTGTTTTTAGATTTGAGACTATTAATAGGGGTAGATTGTTAATGAAATTAAGAGCTATTGGTCTGGGGGGTTGTGCACTGGACTGGTTGGGTCACTATATGGAAAATAGGAAACAGAAGGTTAAGGTGAGTAATTGTGTTTCAGATACTATAGAGAATAATATGGGGGTACCACAGGGTAGTGTTCTAGGTCCGCTACTGTTTTTAATTTATATTAATGACATTGCTGGTGTTGTCGAAAGATGCTCAATACACTTATTTGCAGATGATACTTTGATATATTTTACTCATGAAAACAGTGAAACTTGTTTAAAAAAAATTAATAGTTCTATAAGTAAAATATATGATTATTGTAACGGAAACTCGTTGAAAATAAATTACGAAATGATGGAATAAAGTTTCAGAGAGTTGAAAAATTTAAAAATCTAGGGGTTATGGTTGACACAAATTTACAATTTAAGGAACATGCTAATAACGTCATCAAAGGCATATCATTTAAAATTAACTATTTGAGGCGCTGTTCTCCACATCTCAGCAAATGAGCTAAAATAATAATTTATAATACTCTAATATTACCTCATTTTAATTATTGTGCCACTACATTGTATTTGCTCAACCAGAATGAGTTGCAACGATTGCAAAAGTTGCAGAATAGAGGTATGAGGATAATATTGAGCTGTTCAAGATTGGAACCAATCAATTCCATGTTAATTGTGCTTCAGTGGTTGCCTGTTAAAAAATATGTGCTATTCTATTCCCTACTATTTATATTTAAGATTAAATCAATAATCTCCCCAGTATATTTACAAAATATTTTAAGTTATAATCAGGATGTTCATGAACACATTACACAAAATAATAAAAAATTTAGAATTTATAAGGCCACGAAAAGATGTACACAAAATTCAGTGTTTTTTAAAGGTGTACTGGCTTTTAATAATTTGACTGAAGATATTAAATGTTCTTCAAATGCAGTAATATGTGTACTGTATCTTAAGTATTTTTAAATGTATGTTGATTCTATACTTAAGTATTTTTTTATATTTTAAATGTGAAGGTGTATTGACATGTAAAAAATAGTTTTTTTGACAAAATAAACGATTTATATTAACGAAGAGATTTTAAAATTACAATATATGAAGTCCAATAGTTTTAAAATTTTGTTGGTTGGGCAACTCTGGCACTGAACCACTCAATTGTAAAAATAAAATTAAAAAAATACTTACTCTGCATTCTTTTTTGGCCTAGGACAAACGCAATGAAATTTCCAACCAAAATCTATATATAAATCATCATCTATGATATGAAATATTTTTCCTACTACGATTTTATTCTCAGGATCTCCTAACTGAAACAATATAAGTTAAAATATAACATTCTTGTGGATGCATTTTAGGCGTTTAAATGTTTAAATTCTTTAAAATTAGTGGGTAAAAGTCAAGTGAAAATTTAAAAATGTCTATTGGTATTGCAAAAAGACATTATACTATCTAAATATAAGAGTTAATTGAAGAAAATATTGAAACTAACAGCAGAAATTACATCTAAATATAATAAAAGTACAGTTAAAAACTAAAAAAAAAAAAAAAAAAACTTTTTGTCTACATACAACATTAACATCAAAAATAGCAAGGTCATGTTAAATTTGGGACGAGTTGGGACTATTTCACTGGGCCAAATATTGAGAAATAGTCACTGATATTTAGTTTAGTGAAGTAGTCAAGGGTAATATACAAATACCTTGATAGTAGTCAACTATTTTTGTTGCGTCTAAATCTCGAGAATATTTTAATATCAATTATGTCGAACCAAATTATTCGAGAAATTTAGCAACAACAAAAATAACAGAATATTAAACAAAGTCGTGTTATATTTAGGATGACTATTACACTAAAGCAAATATTGACTATTTCTCTAGATGTTAATTTTTGATTTTATAATACTATATTTTTGGCAATTGTGTTTTGTTATGGCCAATTATCACCGCTAGTCATTAAGGAATAAGCCAAGCTTAAAATGACAATTTTCATTAATACTGTCATTTTAAGCTTCACTTAGGCCCGTATTTATTCCAACTCAGCTGAGATTGGTTTATAAATATGAGCCTTTTCTTAATGACTAGCAGTGCGAATGGGCCTATGATACTTTTATGTATTTTATGATATTCTATCATGTTTTAATTTAATTTTTTAATTAATTATAATATTTATTAAGAAGGTATTAAGTAATATTATATTTTTTTATATAAGTGCCTATTAAATATTATTAACTATTACTTATACCTTTTCATGTTAATGGTATCTACTCTATTTGTATATATTATAATTATTTTAAAAGTACCTTAGCATGAAGCTAACTTTCGAATAAAATTTTATAGTTTTTTTTGGAGTAACTAATGTTTATTTTCCTTTTTAAAGTCTCAGAAATTCCCCAAGTCCATTCACTTCCTTTGTTTAAATGTAAAATGGATGAAACAAAAGTTACTAGATTTTGGCAAATGGTAGATTAATTACATCATGTTATTATGTCAGGTGGCAGTTATCGAAATTATTTTGAATTGTCAATTTGTTAAAAATTTGTATATTTTGATATTTCAAGTTTTTATAAGTATTCTACATAATAGTGAAACGATTTAGTGATCAATCAAAAACTTTAAATCCTAAACGTAGTTTCCTATTTTAAGAGATACAAATCTATTTGCGAGGCTCTTGGAAAGAGATACAATCAAATGGCTGCAGAGGCATTAAAAATTTCATAGAAAACTATCTATAGACTTAGTAAACCAACAAATTCTGATACAGAGTATGTAAAAATTATGTCTAAAAAAGTAAGCCAAAGTAAAACAAAAGTAAATTCTTTAATATTAAGTAAGTTAAGGCAGTTATATATAATATGTATGAAGGTGCCCAACATGTAACAATGAAATCATTACATAAACGATTTTCGGAAGAAATGCCTGATATGAAATGTTCTGCACTGTCAATTAATACATGGATTTGAAAAATTGACTTCCACTTTAAAAGAAGTAACAACAGACAGTTTTTATTGGAACAAACACCAATTCAGTTAAAAAAATGTCTTTTTGAAAAATTTTGACAAGAAGATAGAGCTGGGTAACTTTAAGCTTGTGTTTATGGATGAGATGTGCGTATCTAGCAAGAAAAGTGGAAGAAAAAGTTGGCAAAAGAGAACGATGGCTACTGCTAGTAAAAAACAGGAGATGGAATTTGGTACATAATTGTCCATGGTGGCAATGAATAAGGGTTTATAAAAAATGCAGACCTCACATTTAAAAGTCAAACAAAAAGCGGGGATTACCATAATAATATGAACAAAGAAAATTTTGAAAAATGGTTCAAGACGAAATTTGTATCTAGTCTGGAACATCCTTCTTTGATTATAATCGATAATGCCAGGTATCATTCACAATATATGGAACCAATTTCATGTTATTGTCAGATAAAAGATCAAATGGTTGCAGGAAAAGAACATTAATTATCCAATCAATGGTATGAAATTATCAGAATTGGGAAGTTGTACGTCAAAATCTACCATGAAAATAATTCCACATAGATAGATAATATGTTAAGGAATATGGGCATTAAATATTAAGAACTCCTAGGTATCACTGCCAGTACAATGCGATAGAAATGGTGTGGTCACAGTGCAAACAGTTTTATGGCGAAAAAATTTTAAGAACAAAGTCTTCACCGGAAGATATATTTCAAACTTAGGAGCTTTGAATAATGTTAGTGATACTCGGTGGGACAATTATGTAAGACACACTAAAAACAATTGTTTCTGATTGGAAAAAATACAAGCAATTAGAGGTTTCTGATCTAGAATCCATTAAAATTAATTTAGGTACAATGGCAAGTAGTGATGAGTCATCAGAGTCCAGTTATGAAGAAAATGATATAAATTTATATTCTTTTAAGAAATCTCACGAATTTGCAAATGTTATGGATTATATTTAAAAACATTAAATATGCTAAATACCAATGTTCAGCCAGGAAATTTATTTATGAAGTAAGAAAGTAAATTGTTCTAGTATTTGTAGACAAAATGTAAGATGTAATCTAAATTTTTTCAAAGTGACTTCTTGTATTTGTGTAAACACACTTTAATAAAGTTTATGCTGCTAACTGGAAACTGTTAACTAAAAGTGCAATACTCTTTTGTCAGAGGACTTGGGGTATTTCTATCACTTTAAGTGCTAATATTGATACAAAAAAATACGGAAGAAGTAAATAAACATTAGGTATTATTAGTACAGTAGGCATAATCACATTTCTCAATGTCAAAACTCTCATATGAAACTTACATCAATTAATCTAGAATTCCTCAATAATGATGTAAAATTTTGTGGTGTATTTTTATCCTTCTCATCTTTGATGTTTTCAAATTTTTCGTATGCCTTTGCATAACCACCTCCATCAGCTTTAGTGGGTTCTTCGTTCGATAGGAATCTGATTCCTTGCAAAACTGGTAAACGATTATTGTAGTTTTGTATTCTCCTAGCCAAATTTCTTGCAATAAACATTTTAAAACAACAATGTGATCTTTTTCAAAACATTTAATTCTAATCCAACTTATCCAACCCAAAAATAAGGTTATAAGTTAGGTTCACAGAACACTTACTCTTAGAACGGTAACTCCCATGTTAAAAAAGGATGATAGAGTTTTTAGCGGCACCTGGTGGACGTGGTTGATTTTTTTTCAATTAAGTCCTTGTCTGGTAAGAGGCCATAAGAAAGAAGAGAAAATAATAAAAAGAAGAAGAGAAGAAAAGCGCGGGGCTATTCAAATTTGACAGTAAAAATTATCCGCATTAAAAACTGTTAGCCAAATTAAGATTTGTTCACACAAATTGCATTTTTGCTTTATTATAGCGAATATCGCTATAATAAAGCAAAATGCAGTTTGTGTGAACAAATCTTAATTTGGCTAACAGTTTTTAGATAAAAAAAACAAGAATATTTAAAAAATAAATTTATTAAATATATATAATACAAATCCAATATTTAAAAAATGTAATGTATATGAAAATTGTATTATGTATGAAGTAGCTGGATGGCTGCTACATATTCCAGGATACAACACTGTCCATCATTTTGTGAAGAACTTTAGCTGTGAAAAAAGAAAGACAGTATAAGTACAATCTCATTAAAATAAATGTATTAATAAGAAATTATAAGTCCGAGGAATACTTTATTTTTTAATAAGTCCAACATCTACGATACAGCTTTGCAACCCCAAACGTCATGAAACACAAATTTCACAGTATATGCAGCGTTTAAGAATCCACATCGGATGCAACTGAGATGTAGTAAATCTTTGATCACGTGATTCAATTTACGTAAATGTAATGGGACAGATGTGTCCGATTTAAAATAAACTATTTGAGGCGCTGTTCTCCACATCTCGGCAAATGGACTAAAATAATAATTTATAATACTCTTAATATTACCTTATTTTAATTATTGTGCCACTATACTGTATTTGCTCAACCAGAATGAGTTGCAATGATTGCAAAAGTTGCAGAATAGAGGTCTGAGGATAATACTGAGCTGTTCGAGATTGGAACCAATCAATTCCATGTTGAATGTGCTTCAGTGGTTGACTGTTAAAAAATATTTGCTATTCTATTCCCTGCTTTTTATATTTAAAATTAAATCAGGAATCTCCAGAGTATATTTACAAAATATTTTAAGTTATAATCAGGATGTTCATGAACCTAAACAGGTAACAAGAAAAATGTACACAAAATTCAGTGTTTTTTAAAGGTGTACAGGCTTTTAATAATTTGCCTGAGGATATTAAATGTTCTTCAAATGTGGCAATATTTAAAATAAAACTGCATGAATACCTGTTCACCTATTGACGTTTTTTTTTCTCTTTCTTGTTCTTTTATTGTTTTGTATAGTTGACATGTAAGTGTACTGTATCTTATGTATTTTGTATTGCATTTTAAATGTATGTTGATTCTATATTTATGTATTTTTTATATTTTAAACGTGAAGATGTATTGACATGTAAAAAATAGTTTTTTTGACTAAATAAACGTTTTATATATAGGTATGTGGATAAAAAAACGCTCGAGATGTAAAAAATGCATCTGATGTGGATTCTCAAACACAGCAATAAGTATAAAATAAATAAGTACTAACTTTCCTTCTCGAAAAGAAGTCCAACATATATTATTAGTCTGCTTCTTCTTCTACGATACAGCTTTGCAACCCCAAATGTCATGAAACAGAAAATACACAGTATAAGTATAAAATAAATGAGTAGATTACTAACTTTCCTTCTCGAAAAGAAGTCCAACATATATTATTAGTCTGCTTCTTCTTCGAACCTTTACTTGAAGTAGAAGGTGTTTGATCAACATATTCAATTTCTACGTTATTTGAGGAAAGTCCATCCGCTACTCTTCCAGGAACTGCTGGTAGGAATAGCGTTGGAAATGCTTCAGGTGTTAGACCTCGACGAGAGCCAACTACTTTATACTTCTCTTCAAAATGTTTATGACATACTACAAAGGTGGAATAAATTTGTAGTTTTGTTTTATTATTAAATCTTGGACAACGAACAGCAAGTGCCCAAATTTCAAATAAATCGGGTTCATTCCTAGGGTGGGGCAGGCGATGCATCTTGTTGTTCACATCAAGGCAATTCGGTACACAACATTTTCTATAATTACGCATCTTTATGGAAAAGCACGAAATAACAGCGGAAAAAGCACAAGATAACAGTTCAAAACGCACAAATTTATAATGGAAAAACAAGCTCACTAACAGTGGTCAACTAAATCAATTAAGCAAATTGGAAATGAAAACACAACTGAACACAACCAAGTCACCAATATAAATAAACAAGTTTGGTTTAAGCCAAGACGCCATGACACCCCCCCAAAATCAATATTCACCTGTCATTTACACTCCCACCACCTACCCCACCACCCGACTGCAGCGCCACGCGGACGTGGTTGATTGATCCTTGACCTGCGCATACCAGTTTCCCACCCCTGGTTAGGTTACTGGTAAACACGGGGGTCGGATTCCATGTAAATAGTTGGTAACAAGTTTGCTTGACCTCGACAGTAGCGCGCTAAGCGCTTACGGTTGAACTACACCTGTCAGTTTCAGTCGATAAAGTAGAACACTACTAATTAAAGCGATTTAAAAATTGGCGGGCTTGATAATTTAGATATTTGAAGCAATTTGAAGTAACATTTTCCTATGTGACAACTTTTACTTACAATTACTAAACAAACAATAAGTTTAGTGAATTTTTGTTGTAGGTAAATGTTGAAAAATGGAAAATGTCACTTGTTTTAACTGAAAAATAAAATTAGTTGAAAAATAAAACACATTTTTAACAAGTTTAATTTATTTAGAATTACCATGTAATTACATGTGTCTCATTATCTTCTAACTGCATATTTTGAACATAACAAGCACTATATCACACACTAAATTACTGAAAAATAAAAATATAATATGATAACCAGCATAGCACATGACAATGTTTTTATCATTAAAAAAACCGGATATAGTTTTTATAAAAAGTCAAAGTAGTTAATTTATGAACACAATTGTTTTAATGTTTTAAATATCCCTTATTAATACAAGGACAAATCATTCTAATTCTAATATTCTTATACTTATTGTCCCTTTAAGGCTTTTTCCATCTATTTCAATCTAGAATAGTTGTAATGCCTATTTCGGTTACAATAAGCCTCCAGCTTCAATACAGGTGGGCTTTGAAACTCACCCTAATTAAGAAACACATTTATGCACATTCCAAAAATCTCCATACCCAGTAATATCTAAAACACAACAAAAATAAAGGTGCAGTGTGTATCTTAAAATTAAAAATAAACACGAGTCATAACCTTTTTAAATTCTTACATTTTTCTTGCAATAAAAGGTATTAAAATTTCAATAATAATAGAAAACATCTGATTTATGATCTTAATAGGTGAACTATGCAAAAATTAACAAGTTGACCTAAATAGCATATAAGTTTTTGAACATATTTGGGTATTATTTGATAAATATAATAATGAATAACTTTTTGAGCACAAATCATTCGCCTTTTTTCATCATGGTCTTTATGAGTAAAACTAAGATCAGGTTCTATCTCGGGTTCTACAATATTTGTTTGTAAATTGGCTTCACACATTTCGCTCACAACTCCTTTCATTTTTTTGACCGCAAATGTTTAAAATGTGGATCCATTTATCTCTAGAGTAATAATAGCAGGAAAAACAAACTTTCTTGTTAGTTTTGTGAGAAAAATACTTAGGTACTTCTGCAATTAAAATTTAAATGAATCAGAAGTTAACGATTTTCTTAAGAACCTGCCTATAGTTAAATTAGTTAAATCTAACTTACACTTAATACAATTTACTCACCTACATTTGAAAAAAATATCACCTGATTTGAAAATGAAAATAATATCAGGCTGACATATTTATTATTATTTATAGCAACATAACCTAATTTATTTTCAAAGCCAGATTTACACCACCTAATAATATTTAAATTTAGCTTTAACTTTAAATTTATTAACGATTATCCCTGTATTTGATCACACATTATAGCAAAGTGAAATTTAAAGGGGTAAATCAGTAAACTTATTGATTTCTTTGTCATTATTTTTGAAAACATATTTTTTTATGGGTGTAAACGGGTTTGAATTTAGTGATAGCAGCGCGCTAAGCGCTTACGGTTCAACTACCAACAAGGAAACAAATCCCGCCATTTATTCAAACCTTCTCTTTTTATTTTTCTATGCTGGTAAACAGAAGAGGCAAAGTTTACTCGTAAAGAAGAATTGCGTATAGTTGTTCAGCAGTACATTTTATACAATGGTACAAGACTATTTATAAAAAGTAGAGCAGTTGCTTGACTTAAACTCGAAAACCTCATTAAAAATATAATTTTAAGTTTCGCTTATTTCTTAGCGATTAGAGTTATAAATCACCCAGAGTAAATCTAAGCCAAAAAATATAAAAACGTCTAAAAATAAAATCAAGGTAGCTGTTAAACCAGAACTACGAGACAATTACAAGACCACAAAATATCTGGTTACTAGTATATCAGAGACTCATAATATTTTTCACAAAGAAGAAAATTCTAACCTAACAAATAAAAATCTGTCACTGTCAAATAGAAAATTTATTTTTGGAAATTTTGATAGTATCGTGTGATTATTTAATAACTTATATTTTGTCTTTTAAATTAATACGAAAACGTAAAAATGGCATCAGCACCAACAACTAAGACAAGTATCTGCGATAAATTAGGTTTGAAAGCCCTAAATAGGCATAATATTTTATATCATTATGCACCGGCTCATGGAGTGGTCAGCTACACTGCTCTTTCTGTGAATGTAATGAATCCATCCCTAATTTATAGGTAAATAATAATATTTTGCCAAAAATTTAAGTGTTACACAATATTTCCTAACTTTCAGGGTTTGTTCAAAAAGAGATGTTACTAATATACTTTTATGTCAGTCCGTTGTTTTTACTGGATTATATTTGTATAATAGACCACATTTAAGAACTTTACCTACAAAGGAGAAGATTTTATACAGGTAATGGTGTATTCTATAAACATATCAGACTTATGTTTAATTTTTAATTTATTTCAGCGCTTTTGGTGCAGTTACTTTCTCCTTAGGTTCTGTCTTAACATGGGCTATTTTACGAAGTGTAGTACCTCAAAATGTGTTTCTCTGTACCATAGCAGGTGTTGGTTCTGGTCTAGCTCTGGTCAAAATTGCTCGAACCTATGTTGAACATGTGGATTCTTTAGTGGAAAAGACAGCTTAGAAGAGCTTTTAATAACTTAGACTAGTTTATATTTAATATAATTGTGTAACGGTTTCCAAAAATAAATGTTTTTAATATTTTCTAGTTTATTACAAAATAAGTATACCTGATAATGAAGAAGTACTAAAATAATGTCAAAAAATAGGATAAGCAGACAGCTGCTAGAATGACATTTTACCCTTTACCACAAAAACTGACAATGTTTGTCATGCAATTGTCACATTTTTATAGCCATGTTTCACTACATTCCCAAAAAGCTCCATTAAAAATAAACATGTAATCTCCCTATATTATGGCCAACGAAGAACAAGAAGAAACTATTCTAAGCGAGGCTGAACAATGGGCACTATTCAACCGCATATTTTGCGAAGCAGCCTCTTTTCAAGGAAGATTGGCTTACTTTTTGATGTCCATGTATTCTTGTAATCCAGAAGTCATTAAATCGTAAGTAAGTATAATATTTTGGACTGAGATATACTCAAGGTTGTGTGATACAATTTTAATCAGATTTGAATATACAAAATGTTGGTTTTAGATACCTGGGTTTCGATATTTACGAATATCTATGGGCCAATATGGTGTACGGTCTCTCAGTAATGATTTTCGACAGACCAACTCTAAGAGAAGTCGCGCCTGTTAATAGAATAGCCTTTGCGTAAGTAAAACAGTATATTATAAAAAATATATATTTCAAACATTTAAACGTGATAAATCAAGTTGAACACGCTCTCTAGTGGAGTAAAATGAGAACACAAGTTAACATGTTGACATGTACCAGAGATAAGGGACATAAAAGATAGGAAAAGGAAACGCTCATAAGAAGCCCATGCCATCACATGCTTAACAACGAACGACCAGCTGGAATGAATTAACATCTGACCCACTATGTTCTACAAAAAGGCCTCGAATTATATTTTTGTAAAAACCAGGTACTTTTAAAGAACATGTGCTGTAAAAAGATTAAAATAACATTTTTACATTAGACAAAATGTCATTAAACTTCGCCTTCCTTTAACGCAACGGTGGAATCGGTCCTTACGCAACTCACTTAAAGTCTTTGCTAATTCTGTTCTAAATACCGTACGTTTATCGTACTTTTGATGTAAATACCGTACTTTTGATGTAAATACCATACTTTTGATGTAAATACCGTACTTTTATATATGGTAATGACTTTGGACCCTATACCGTACATTATTAATCGAAATTACCATACAAGTATGTGCCGCGTTTGAGAATCCACATCGGATGCATTTTTTACATCTCGAGCGTTTTTTTATCCACATCGGACACATCTACTACATCTGCGTTTGGGCTCTATCAAGCTAGCGGGCACTCTGTGGCGGCACCATTCAAGACCTGGGGTAGTATTCTCGAGTCACGAATATAGATTCGCATGCGAGATTTATGATTTGTCTCACTTGGTTTTCGTTCAACAAAGTGAGACACAAAGTAAAACACGTATGCGAATGTCGGTATTCGTGATTCGAGAATGGTCCATAAATACTGCAAAACGATTGGTTAAGGAAATCATTCAAAAAAGATGTAAGAATATTCTTGATTCAACAAAAGTATAAATACATAAACAACACTAAAAAACATTTAAAAACAAATGTTCGATTTTGAGATTCTATCTAAATTTCTCAAAAATATATTGGATGGAAGATGGCCTTAATTCGTGAAATGCAATACTGGTCCATTAGTATATATACTGGGATCTAACAATGTACTGCGCTCCGAGCAATTACTAAGGTATGGTCTATGATTACTACTAGAGGGAGCGTAATACGAGTTTGTAGGCGATTGTTGTGTTCGCAACATTTGTAGAGGAACTGAGGAAGCGGGCACAAGGAAGGTAAACAACCCCTCTTGTTCAGTGGCGTATCACTTCTCTGTAAGAACACACATTAATCGAGATTACCATACAAGTATGGTAATTACCGTACGGTTGGCAACCCTGCTCTCGAAGCATCCTGTTACTTGTAAATGGTGTTGCCTAGTAATTAGGTACTGCCCTCCGACCAATAACTAAGGTATGGTCTATGATTACTACTAGAGGGAGCGTGAAACGAGTTTGTATGCGATTGTTGTGTTCGCAACAGAGGAACTGAGGAAGCGGGCACAAGGGGGAAGGTAAACAACCCCTCTTGTTCAGTGGCATATCACTTATCTGTAAGAACACACATTGTCCAAACTTTTTAATTGTAAAAAAAAACTAAAGAATTCGCTAATTTTACAATTTTTAAAATGTATACCGTCTTATATGTGTGTGATGCAAAAAATAAAACAAAATCATTGTAAAGATCTAATTTTTTTTAATTAAAGAATAAAACCTCAAAATCAATACATTAATTTTATTATAAATAAATACAGGAGCGACTAGTTTCGGCCTTACGGGGATATCTTCAGGCCTGTAATACAATAATCCTTAATTGATTATAATAGTAACAATATAAGAATAGGTTGGTTACTTACGATTAAAATTTAATAGTATAAACCACAAAAATGGATCCATATAGTACCGTTACAGTATTGTAGAATAAAAAGCTGTGGAAAAGGAAAAATAAAAGAGCAGTGCAAATTTAACTAAAAATATAAAAAATGGGTACGGAATCTACAAGAGAAGAGGTGTGAATGAGCATTTAAATTGCTCGGGATAACAAATAAGGCTGATAATGTAAAGTAGTGGTATAGTCCCCGTCAAAGAAGGTCCGGATGTGTGAAAGAGGACACAGGATTTTCTCTGTGAATCTTGAGATAAGAATGGAGGGGAAGATGAATCTTGCTGGCTCATGTGTAGATAGGCTAGAAAAAGGAGAGTGTAGATGAAAGCTCCAGTAAATATCGTCATTTTCGTCTAATTTTTTATTCTCACTCACCGTTTTGGATTCATTTTCAAAAGGAAATAAAAGTAATCATTCATATAAGCATATAATAAAACAACGTGAATTCATTATATTTAGTAAGCTGAAAAAATATATACGTGAATATATATCAAAAAAATAGAAATAGATTAATATCAAAATCATTTTGAAAATACAACAGAGATAAAATTAAATAAATTATTACATATACAAATAGAAAGTTAATAACATATCTTCTAAAAGTAACACATTTTAAGTAGATAAATGTTTAGAGAGTTGGTGATCCCCGAACATAACTAATCTGACGTTTTCCCTCTTTTTAATATTATGAGGGTTTTTGTAGTTGAAATGAAAATTATAATTTATTTTTGGTCCTAATAAAAATCTAAACATAGGTTATCAAAGAGGAAAATACATATAGAACTTCATAATCCTAAAACGTTATCAAAAATTATTAATGGTAAAACTTCCAACAATAATTAGATTCTTAAACAAATTTCTTGTTTTTGTTTTTCAAAAGACCTTTTTGCCTTCTTCGGTTGCCTCTGCCACTTTTCTTTTAGAAGTTTCGAGCTTAATTTCACTATGGAGACCAGGAAAACCATCAATTGGTCAGTAACTTTGATATTATGGATCTGCTAATAGGTAAGTCTTGTTAAACTTTCTTCTTAGGTAGCTGTAACCTTTTGGAAAATAAAAATTTATGGTTAGGTCAAAAGCTCTTAATTGTGAATTATATTTGCGAAGGCCGTTTTAATAATATTTCTAAATGTTCTCGGAATCGTTGTTAACAGAAACCTGCAAAAGATATTTTATTCCTAAAATATAAGATTTGTGTGATATCTTATATCACATTCATTGTGCTAGAACAATTGTAGGTAGGTACTGGGACAATTTAAAAAAGTAATTTCAAGAAAATCAACTTTTAATGTCATCATTGTACTTAACTTCTTTATTGCTAAATTATTAATAATATCACTTTGTGTAGTTCGCTGTGATTTATATAATATATATTATAAAAACCTATCGTCAATATTATTATAGGTGCCGACTTTTTTTAAAAAATTATTTTGAAAGTTGTATATGTTCTAGTAAAAACACTTTTAAACACATTTTTAGAAGTTTTCTGGATTTCTGCTTTAAGTTATCGTATAATTAAATTGATTAGCTGTTTATATAATTAAAGGTATATCTCTTTTTTGTTAAAATAGTCTTTGTATTTTTCAATACTTTTTTAGATAATTAAAGAAAAATATCCTATTTCACCAACAAAAATGTAGAATAATGAATCTCACATCAAACAGAAAAAACATTTTTGGGTCCTACTAGGTATTACCTTAAAAACTAATTAAAATGTATATTGCAACTGTGCTCAATAAATGAATGTTTTTTATACCTGACATAATGATCTGGATAACTCAAAATAGTCAAAATCCACATTTTTTAAAGTTATTCTAGTATTGTTTTAGCATAGCGAATAAACTCCAATAATAAACATTCAATGTTTTTTGGGACGTTTTTAGTAAATAAAAAAAGATTAATAATGTGATATTCTTGTTGAGTTTGTTACTACATAATATAGTTCATTAGTGATTTAGAAGCAAATTACGCTCTATGTATAGAATAAAATATCACTCATAATATCCAAATATTTATACAAATATCTTTATATTTCGGGCACGAAGACTATAACTAACTATTTTATGTTTTTGGCTCTGAATAGTTTTCTTAAGAATTTTAAAACCTTTCTTTGCTCTTTTGGGATACTACATGCATATCTTTGAGGTTCATTTTGTTTAAACAATACACAAAATTAGTCGATTAAATTACAGTTTAAAAAAAAATTGTCAACAAAAAAGTGGCATTGTCTTTTTCCTTAAACATTCTTTTTGAAAGAAACTTAAGTTTCTCCGCTTCAGTTGCTGTTTTAGTATTTTAGTAGCAGATGAATATGGTGAGGAAGTAGTGACAGGATTGATTTTATTATATTTCTCTCGTCGAAATTTACTGAAATTGAATTATTCTTTAATATTTTCCTCCCCTGAGGTCTGTAATAAAAAAAAGGTCTGTAAAAATAAAAAGTTATTCAAGTGATCACTTGTTGAATTCCTAAATTTTGGAACCATTTATTTATTTTTATCATATCAAGAAAAGGTAACCTACTATAAATAAATAACAATATACTTTACAAAGATGTGATATTAAAATAAATCACAGGTTTAAATTTTCTTCATTTGTGTTAATAAGTAATTAACCTTTACTATAATCATTATAAGACGGATAAAGACGAACTTAGCTAGGGTTTATTCTCTCTTAACTTGATTTTACTCTTTCGATAACAAAATAAGTTTAATTGCAAATTAAAGGTGATTGCCTAATGCACCGCCTCTAATAATTAGGTTATGTTTGTACTTACTTATGATATAATCTTGAAGAAGCATTTTCAACAGGTCTTTTACACATAAAGCATGTTTTCACCATATTATTAGAGATAATAAATCCTAAATATACAACGCCACAAATAATTATATTTTTCGTAAAATACAAATCAAAAATTGATATGTGTCAGAAAGTGTCAGAACTGGCGCTGTTAAATAAGCCAATTACAGGAGAGGGATTTCCCCCCTCAGGGGAGTAGATGCTGGTTACAAAATTTAGCGCAGGGAAGGGGGAAGGCCTTCTCTAGTAGGTAGTAATTGCTTGAAGGTACTGACCATAATCACAGCCCGCTTAAATTGGGCTATGCACAATTAAGTGGAGAGGGGTAAAATGATAATAGCCAATAAAAAAGTATAGACACTATGCAAAATTTCGTTATGCACATTTTGTAAACAATATTCAGGGACGGTTTAAGAACATTTTGTGCAACAATTGAACCGTGTTCTGCAACAGTGGTGTAAACCACAATTTGTTTACGATTGAGATTTTTATGTGAACCAGTGCATTTAACGAAAAGTATGTAAGGTACTTCTGGGCCAGATGCCGCTTATTGCATAAGAATATCTAAAACCAGTAAAAAATCACAAATATAAAATCTCGCCCAAAACAAACGCAATGTAAATAAACAAACATCCTACTTATAGGTGACAAATGACAGGCGCGCGAAAATTAATTTGAATCTCGAATACTAGTTAGGTGTCCAAAATAGGAACTGGGATTGCTGTATTTTATTTTTTTCAGTGTTCTCACTACCTTTATAATGGATATAAAATATATTCAATCAGTTTAACGTAATAGCATACATACTTTTTTGTTTTGTAGTCTGTTTGTAGATAAGCTAATATCCATGTGGGTATAGAAAAAATTTTTTTTAGATTACTGGGTTCCCTGATGTTCAATCACGCTAGCATGAACTGTTTTAATTGGGTGTCCAGCCTTTTTCCGGATAGACCAAATTTACGAGTGTTTTTGGGATTCTGCTGTGGTCGTGTTATGATGGTACATTTTTTGGCTTTTTTGTACCATATGGACACCAGAGCAACCACACCCGGGATTGTTGTACAAAGAGATATCGCTTTTGAACAAATGTACTCTCAACCAGAACATGAATAAACAAATATAAAAATCAAATTAGTTGATTTATTTAAAAATTTTGCAAATGTATTGTTCTATTTAGGTTTGTTCTAACACAATAGCAAATTGGTTTACGTACTGTCGGGATTCTGCGCAGTCTAGATTTGATGTTCCAACAAACCTCGGACTCAAAACTGTACAAAAACCTAGTGTTCCAACATACTCAAACCTAATCACAAACCAGTTTCTGTACTGTCAAATCAGTTCCTGGGTCTGAATAGGAACGAATTGTCAAGACATGCGCAAAACGAAAGTTAGTTCGTAAATAAATCACGACCAACTCTGGAAATGTCGTGATTATATTCGTTTTGATAGCATCATCGATCGTAATTTAGTTTTTACTCATTATCATTATTTATAGTATATTATTTTATGAGTAATGAGTGTAAAAAGTGAAAATAACTATTATTCTGACTTAGATACAGTAAAAAATAAAATAAGTTAATGTACTAACCAATCGAATAATCAAAATTTATAAATCTTTTAATGAGTTTTAATTTATTTTATTTATCAAATTCAAAATTTAATATCTGTTAATGTTTTTTCTACTTTTACGTTATTGATAGTATGTCTGACAACAGAAACATGTGTTCCAACACAACCAAGTTCCGAATTCAGTCTCAATCATCGACAGGTCGTGGACTGGTCGTCGACTATCAGTCGTCGACAATAAGTTGTGGACTGGTTTGTGTATGGTTCCAAGATTGTTGTTGGAACAAACCTTTTGTGTCCAGGTTTTCGGGGATTTCCTAAATAATATATTTAATCTTTTACTTGAGATGATACAAAAGGCTGAATAAAAAACAACTTTTAACTTTATTTTCCTATTCTTAATTATCACAATAAATGTTTATTTAATGAATCATTTATCTCATATAATATGTACAATAATGGGATCTAATTAAAACTTTTTACACGAAACGTAAACATATTATTAACATGGATTTTATTCATCGATAACTGGATAAGGTGACGTCATTTCTTCAAAGTGGTGATGAATTTCAGGATGGGTCGTTAGGTAATGAGGGTGATGGTCGTGGACATGTTCGTGGCCAACTGTAACAACAACAAAAAATAAATTAGAGATGTTCAAACATTTATACATACCTACAAGTAGATTATACAGTTTCGGCTACTGAACATTTTCCAGTATACGCTTTGCGCAAGTGAAAACTACAGAAAGTTAACATTATAGCGAAAAGGAAACGAATAATAGCAGCATTGTCAGTTTATACGGTTCGACCGCGTAACGTTGGCAGGGCCATATATAAACTGGATCGCTGGTATTATTTATTTCAAGCTCTAATGCTCTGTAGTTTTCACACGCACTTGTGCAAAACGTATTGGAAAGTGTTCGATAGCCGATACTGTATACGGTTCAATTTTTATTTAAATTAGTATTGGCTTTGTAAATTTGACAGATTTCAGTCATCCGTATATATATTCACAAAGCATTTTTAAATAATTAGTTGGGCGATGGATTGATTTCTCAATCAGATTTTAAATCGTTCGTTACACTAAAATTCAAATAAATGAGGTTATGTTACTTCAAATCATTAACAAATTAAATATTCAGTAATATATTTTACTGGAAAACAAAATCGATAGAAAAACATGTAAAGAATGTATCAGTTTACCAAGATTAAAATAATTAAATAATATATAGTTCGTTAAATCTCTATATCTAAACTCTATTGGACCTTCATTATAATGACGTTTCTATCTTTAAGAATTTACATGTGAGTAAATTTAAAGGTATGTACTTTGTGAATTTGGCATAATAAGTAATACATATTCATAATAAAAATACGCTAAGTAAAATACATACATTTCAATTAGATGAATAAACATAAAAATATCCACAGAAGTATTATATAAATACTTGTTTTTCGTAAATAAAATAAATAATAGAATATATTTAAATATATCAGAAACATATTAAAATAAACTTTTGAGACAATAAATATTTCAATTTTTCTTTATTTTATTTTTACTAGGTAGGTACACTACATAAAACATTAAATAGAAACATTAAAAGAACAAGTAGGGATCCTTTTTATTTTCTATTTAGGTTTTGTACAATTCTCTATTATTTTATAAATATCTCTTCCTTCACTTTCTTTTATAGTTACTTTTTAAAGCTTTTATTACAAGTTTCCTCTTTTGTTCTCTGAGGTAAACAGTGGCGGCTTGTTTGTAAGGGCTGTAGGGCTACAGCCCCCAGTACAAGGGGAAACAATTTATATAAATATAAAATGAAAACAAAAAAATATATATTCTACGTTTTTTTTTATAATTTTCATACGGATCCTTTTATTTTAATTTTTTCAATAATTATCTGACAGTCCGTTCCTGGCATTTAATTTGTTTTGAATTCTTGTATTCAAGCGGTCAGATCGGACAATGTCGGCCACGTTCGATAAAGAATTTTTTTATGTAAGAAGGCTACGAAAATTTCAGCCTTGCTCCTGTGCAGCCAGTGTGTAGAGTGTATAGCAGGGACAGAAGTTGGAAAGGCCTGTCGCAGTTCTTCCACTTCCTACACAGGATTTGACAGTTTTGCCGCGAAGCTAACCGAAGTAAATGCCAAACATTGCCGTAGAAAATTATTTTATAGATGTTGATAACAATTTTGCGTAAATAGTTTAATACATTGCGAATAGCTGTAGAATTATGATTTAGATAAACACTTTACCTACATAGCGGTATTCTTTTATCTTTTTTTGTTATTCTACGAAAATAAGTAAGATATTTATTCTGTAGGAAAAAATATGCTTCTCTAAAATGCTGGCATCTTTTTATAGAAAAAAGGTAACAGAAATATTGGATTAACAGCAGATTAACAGTTAAAAAAAGTTCTGGTAATTTCGGAAAATTTCAGATAATTTCGGACAATTTGGGATAATTTCGGATAATTTCGGATAATTTCGAATAATTTCCGATAATTTCGGGTAATTTTGGATAATTTCGAATAATTTCGGATAATTTCGAATAATTTCGGATAATTTGGGATAATTTGGGATAATTTGGGATAATTTGGGATAATTTGGGATAATTTTGGATATTTTGGGATAATTTGGGATAATTTCGGATAATTTCGGATAATTTCGGATAATTTCGGATAATTTCGGATAATTTTGGATAGTTTCGGATAGTTTCGAATAGTTTCGAATAGTTTCGGATAGTTTCGGATAGTTTCGGATAGTTTCGGATAATTTAAGTTCGACAATAGAGAAAATTGCATGAATGTCTAGCTGGTTTAGAGTATTATTCAAAGAAATCCTTTTCAAATGCGGCAAACATTTCAATGAAAATTATTTTAAATACTCTGGAGAATATTTCTACAAATATCAATGTCGACAATAGTACTAAAGGAAAAGCATACGATCTGTTTAAACGTATTTTAAATTTATTTTTATCTGCCGTTTTTTAACTGTTTTTAAAGATGAAGGTTGTTGCCGAAATTCTAGAATCAAACAAGCTAAATGTTATTGATGCATTTTCTATTATAAATAGTACCAAAAATACCCTGCAAACCATAAGGTCAAATCCTGAAGAAGTAAATAATCTAATTGAAGCCTCCAAAATGTTTGCTACATCATTATATGTCAATGTAGGCGAAGATTTTAATGGGCATCACAGATGGAAGGTTATTCCAAAAAGGTTTGACCAACAAAATGAAAATGCCGCGCTCATGGATATAAACGAATTTTATCGGCACGAATTTTTTAGATGTCCCAATCAGTTTTTGAAAAAAAAGTTATCTGAAGTCCTAAAAATTACACAACCTTTTGTAAACATATTTTCTTTCCCATTGTCTAAAATAGCTATTATAAATATCATTTTTTGTTATTTTGTTTATATTTTTTAAGCATATTTTTAAACTGTTTTCGTTCGTATTTTTAAATTAAGGTGTTTTCATTCCTATTTTTTAAGTTTTGTGGAGACTAAATAAGACACAGGTACACTACTTGGGTATGATCTTTAAGGGGTGCCTAATGGATAGCTTGGTCTTTAATAATAGTGTATGGACAAATACCGAAGAAACGGTTAGTGCAATATTCCAGCATAAAAAGCGCAATTCATGATCAAAAAGCGCAACTTTATTACCAACACAAGAACAAGGTAAAATATTGCCTCAAAAAATAAGTGGATAAGAGTTTATGGTTTCTAATTCAATTTTCTTGAAAGTGTATTTGACTGTTTTGAATATCAAAATTCGATTTATAAGAGTAAAAAAGAAAAACATAATTTCGTTACCAGTCGTTTCTGTAAGTAAAAATCGCAAGAAGATGCAAAAAAGTTGAGGGCACAATAAAATTGCAAAATATAAACAAATTGCGCAAAAATTGTGCTTTTTGCGCCTAATTGGCAACACTGAATATAACGCAACAAAATATTATTAATTCTGCAGAAGTAGGACATGGATAATCTCAATTTTCCAGTTTTTATTTATACTTATATAAATAAACAAATAATTATCAAATTTTAAGAATTAAAACGATTAAAAAAGCCGTAGATATTGATTTAGTTAATTTTGATATCCAGTTTTTTCCACGAATTAATTTTTGTTATTAGATAAAAAAAATTGGAAAAACATGCCTAACGGAAATATGCTGAGGTTATTAGGGCCGATTCCACCGTTGTGTTAAACGGAGATTAAAATGATATTGTTAATGTAAAAATGTCATTTTAAACTTCGTTTAACACAACGGTGGAATCGGTCCTAAGTTACATAAAACTCCGATTAGGTAACAAAATTTTTGTGGTAACGTATTATTTTTTAATTTTGTTGTTATAGTAATATCGAAAATTTCATTTTCATGGAGTACATATTATACTCTTCACACAGTAGTCTGTGAAGAGTATTATGCATTCGCTTTGTCCGTCCGTCCTTCCGTCCGAGGTCACGTTTTTTATCCGCACGATAAGTAAAAAACGGAAAAAGATATCAATTCAGAAATTTCAGGAAAAATCAAGCTCTATAAGAGGAAGAA